CAGGGGCTCTTTGATGATCGAGCTGCATATTGGATGGGGCTTGATGAGGCGGCCCTGTCAGCCTCGACTAGAACCCACATGTGATGATGGGCTCTGCATACTGGGCCATGCTTCTGGAAGATGAGACATTGATGCCTCCAGTCCTCTCTTTCTTCCTGCACGTGGCTAAAGCGGCTAAGGTTGCCGCGCATCGTCGCCAAGACAGCTCTTCATGGGTCCTCTTCCCCTCGCGTTCTTCTTCCTCTTGGCCAGGTTGGAAGATGGCAGACCTTGGACCGAGCCAAAGAAACTTGCAAACAATCGCTACCTCCTGGAAGTCAAGCGGTTCTAATGCAAATTCTCAAATCAGCGCTGATGAATCGCATCCGCATGTGGATCAGCCACAAGTACGTATTGAATCTTTAACATTTATGTTGTGTGAGAACAGGCTTGCACACACAACTCTTGTGTCGAGGTCTGTCGGATCACTCAATCAGGCGTTCACTGTGACGTTTGTGATGCTTTGCCATTCAAGGCTGGTTTCAGACGTGATGCACCTTCGGCATCCACAAACAGTTCCCGCGACTTGCAGTTGGGAGGAAAGAGGATCGGGAGAGTCTGGCAGGATCAGCCTGGAGGCCGTGAATGCCGCTGGTGAGGGCGGCCACCAAACTCGCAAACTCCAAGCTCCCACAAACCCTAGCAATTTTAAACAGTCTATGCATCCAAGAGCACAGGACACTGTACATTGGTATTGGAAATATTATAGATGCTGCGAGAGTCCAGTGCCACGCAAGAATGTACGCAGCAAGGCCACGCGAAACATTGCAAAATGCAACGGGGGTTCTGGGGTAAAATGGACATAAGAGGAGATGGAGGGGAAGCGTAAGGAGCTTGCAGCGAAACCAGGAACCCCGAAGGAAACCCGGCCATCCCCCCCCTATGAACCCCAAATGTCAACCTTTCACCTGGGGGTGAGAGACTGGGACGGACGAAAAACTGGTGCAGGCCTGAAGGTGTGCATTGCGCGACCTTCCGCACCTTCAACATGGAACCCCGATTCTTTCAGCATTTAAAGGATGCGAGATGCCAGGCACCGGCCCCGCAACCATGCACCTTTAACATGCATGAAGCAACAAGTGTTTAAGGTTTGGGCAAACCAGAAGCTTCCTGGGAAGCTTTCGATAGGAAGGCAACAGCAAGAGGGCCGCTCGGGAGTTTTAGAACCCTGGGTGTGGCGGCCGCACACGCAGTAATATTGTTAGGATGGATAAACGTGTCTTATAGTTGGTAAAAAGAATGGATGATGAAAAACTAAGCCAGTCATTATTTCAACATATGAAAATGCTAACAACGATACACTTAGATAAAAATGGCGTTTCTCATTCTCCCAGAGCACGGATTCAAGGTCCAAGAACGCAGACTTCCATCTCAGGGACCGGAGCGATTTTCGGGGCTTAAGGGGCACAATACGCGGCCGTCACAAAACAGGCATGTCGACTGTTCAAGCTTGTAACGCAGCACAGGGATGGAAACAGTAGTCAGTGAGTCAGTCATCGCCCCTTCTTTGGGCTCGGCTACTGGCATTGGGGCATTTATGGCATTTGGTCTTGTAGGATTTGGAAAAAATTTGCTTGGGGCCCTGTGCGTAGCGCTGGGCGCTGTATAGGTATTGCCAAGGGGACCTTCGAGGAACGCTCCCAGCGGCGTATGACAACAGCCAGAAAATCCTTCCGCTGCATCTTTTTAAACATTTTGGACTTAGCTGTCATTCGTTAGGCCTCGGATCGGTTGATCTATCTTGATTTTGATTACAGCTGCTGCATCTGGGGCCCCGGCCCGACGTGCGATTGCAGGCTCTCAGGGACGGTCAGCAACTCAGCCTACACTTGCCAGGGCTCCAAACCAATCTCTGGCAAGTGGCTTTTCAAGCAAAGCACTTTACAAGCCTCTGTCAAGCCAGTGCGCCTGAGCGAACCTGCTTGGTGGCTTCAGCAAAGGCTTCATCACAGAACATGTGGCAGAACGTTTCCACAGCCCGCCTGGCGGAGCGAAGGGCTCCAAGACGAGCGGCGGCTTGTCTGGACGCAGCAGGAATGCGGCAGGACATAGGATGGTGTAGGGGAAGGCTGCAGATTCACCAACACCGACAACCCAAGAACTCCAAGCTACATCGGTCTGCAAGAATTGGCAACAGACTACAAGGCAAAGGATCACGAGTCTACAATGTCAAGGTGTGAGGGAAACACAGAGCGATAGAACAAAGTACGAGCTCCACAGTGACAGGACACTCCCACTGCACAGAGATAAGCAAGTAAACATGTAAGATTAAGCTTCAGCTCGATCACGACCTTATCCACCAACCATGAACGAACAACTCTTCACTGTTCACCACACTACTGCATGGCATGATGTGTTGAAGTGGAAAGCAGGGGGCGCCATCGTCATCAGCCCCTGGACGTGCGACCAGCTTGAAGTGACGCACATCCTGGTAATCAATCTGGCATTGCTTGCCGGTATTCTGCAATCTTCTGCAAAAAATTGAAATGTTCTAATTCTAAGCATTGTCCCTGCATGTCCTCCCCCTTCTTTGCAAATCGACGACGGCCCATGGCAACAGGAAAAGAGGATCCTTCAAGATCGGCTGATTTTTGCTGCTCTGATCTGCGCCATAGAAGCCGTTTCTGTATCTGCAACTATAGTTGCCGACGGCTGCTCTGCTCTGCACCCTAGAACATCGTGACGGTCTCTGCAGCTGCAAAAGATGGTTCATTCTCATGACCATGATGTCTCTGGACCCCATGGCTGGAAGCCGAACAGGACCGAACGCAAACTTACACACACACACACAACATCTTGCCGCTTGCCAAGCTGGACTTCAAGATAGGTCTCACACTTCCGAAGATCAGCCTAGCTTCGAACACGGCATTCAATCCAGCTGCAATGGTATCAAGAGTTTCAGTTTGCAAGCAATGCCCATCGACCAGGTTGTCTGTCTGCTGAGGTGAAGAACGTCGTTCTCCTCCGCATCACTCACACAAAGCCTTGCACTTGTCGAGCAAATCCTGCCACGCAGCAGTGAAGCTGAGCAATCATGAAGCTATGGGAAGGCTCATAACTCCCCACAATGGTGAAGCTGGGAAGGGAAAGGCCGTTAAACTCCTAAACTCAAGAATCAAAGAAGCCTTTGAGCGACCAAAAGCAGTAAGTCGAAAAAACTTAGAACCGTCAAGAACCATTTCAATCGTGGACACTCAAACCACGAAAGCCTTCAATCCAAGAATCATTCTACATACCCCAAACCCATACACCTCAACCTATAAAAGTGTAATATAAAGAAGGGCTTTACCATGCCCCTTTTTCTTGTAAGGGCATGGTCAAAGTGTATGTTGAATATTTCTGAGATTCAAAGTTTCACACCACCATGCCCACCAACATACCTGAAGATGTGACGGCCGGCCGAGCCACAAACTCTGAAAGGGGAGATGGCTGGAAATTGCACTCGACAAGGGCTAAGATGGCAACAGCTGGCAACAGCTGGCAAACCGTTGGGCTTAGGTCCCCGAAAGGCATCAGAAGGCACCGAACATCGCAGAACCCCAAACTGCTAAAACCCAACCCTCTGAACCCCTAAACGCGACAAACCTAAATTAAACCAGTGCCAAGCCGCAAAGCCCACGCATTCTGACCAACACGAGAACCCAAATGCCTAAAAGCATAAAGCGGCGCTGAGCGCAAAGCCAGAACCTTTAAATCGTTAATATCCTAGGCCTCGGGAGCGCAAACCGAACAGACTCATGCTGTAACCTCCTTTTAGTAGCAGCTCGTGGATACACAGTAGTTCTTATGGTTTTGGTTAATAGGCTATGGTTTGGTTGACAGGCTATTGTGCTTGGAACTCCACTACAAAACAACCGGAAATAATCCAGCTATCCAGCCTAAAGCATGTTCATGAAATCTTGGTATGACATACTTCTGTTTGGGGCCCGTGAATGATCGCTCTCTCCATTCGATTGAAACTGCTGTAGGTATGGACCGGGCATGAGCAAGGTGTTCATGGAGTGTCTTTCGTAGTGGTGTCCGAATGTGTGTTTTGCAGAACCTGGACGCGTTGATGATAGAAGCGCTGTGTTTACAGCATCTGGCAGGTCCGATCACGTTCGGGCACCGGGCGTGGAGGCATAGCACAATACATCACAGCACTTGGATACTCCAAACCAGTGGCAAACACCCTGGAACAGGCCGTGGCATACTGTAGTTATGAAAGCATGCAAAAACTGAGTAGAAGGGCCGGCAGGGGGGGCAAGTGGGAAAGGAATTGGGGAAGGTGCCTTGTCGATGTCGAAGCCCTCCTTCGAACAGTTGCACAGCATGGGCACGCAGACGGGCACCGCTTGCGCTGCCTTGCGCTGCTTTGCGCCGCGCTGCTTTCGGTCCTGAGGCGTCCTCTTCCGAGCTTCCCATCTCCGCTGTGCTGGCAACCGCATAACTCTTGCAGAGGCCTCGAAAGCCAGCGTTCAGCAGATGCTACGACTGCTACGAGCGCTGCTGCACTGCTAGCCACTTCGCTTCACTTGACTTGTCACGAGATTTTGCACAAAAACTGTGCACCTATGTGCACTTTGCCCCCTTCTTGGCACAAGTGCGTGGTAGTTCTCTGCTACCAAGGTCGAGTTGGTTTTGACGGCAACCCACTGGTTTGCCACAAATTCCATCTGCATCTCGCTTGCGAACGCAGATGTCGGGTGCCTCAGCCTCTTTGCATTCGGCCTCGACCATTTGCAGCAGAGCCTCCAGCGGCGCACGGCTTCTCAAAACCACAAAGATGTAGCAGAATGTATGGCAGAATGCACCGCAGAATGCACATACTCAGGCATTTGTCCTCTACCCTGTCCAGGAAGGCAGCACGCCCACCTCCCAATCGCATCATGCCAGCACGCAAAGAGGAAACCGCGTTGCAGCACTTTCACGTTCTCCCCCTTGCAGAGGTTCGCCTGAGCGTGAGCACACCTCGGGGTCAAGTGCCAGGATGAGCTCTCCTTCTCAACGCGCAGGTGTTTAGCACAGAGTTTGGTCTCGGAGCATATCCCAGCTCACGTTTTCATCTCCTCTTCTCCTCTCGTCTCTTCTTATCTCTTTGTTATCTCTCTTCGTCGAGCGGTCCATGCTGCGTTGGGCCGGTCGATGGATCGTCACGGACCTCGTAGGCAAACGCATCACCTGCATCGAAAAAAACAGGCACAGATGGCGTGTGCAGCACCGGCACCCACTTTCTCAAGCGCCTGTGAAGCTGGCCGCCAGCAGTTCGATCATCAAAGCAAGGCAGGTGCCCTGAGAAATTGCCGAGAATGTCGCAGGCATTCAGCTTTCTCGGCCTGACTTCGATCGTACCCCGCAGCCTTGTGTCCGGCAAATGGCAGCTGGGCTCCTTTCAGGCCAGCTGCAGGGTCAGTCCTCAAGTCTCAGCTCTCGTAAAAGGCTCAAAAGGAGGGTCTGCGACTGGTCTGGGCTTCGTGCGTCTGCTGGCCGTGTTCATCAATTGCTGCGTCACTTGGTATGGCTCGGCCTGAACAGACTCCGGGACTGTCCTTGAACCATCTCGACTGCCCATCATCTGAACCTCAACACACATCGACACCTAGAACGTCACCGTTCAAATTTATCCAAGAATAGCCCCGAAAGCAGAGGGGATTGGGGGCTCTGCTTTGGCAGCCTGCCTTCCATGGAGGCCAGGGTCATGTCCTCGCACAGTTCATTGACCTCCCCTTCACATCCGTTTTGAAAGTGGCTGAATTTGTGTGCAGTGCTGCAAGGAAGTGTTTCCGGTATGCGTAATGGCATGTGACGGCTTTCTGCCCTTCGTACTTGGTCGCTCCCCCTCCGCATGGGGGGGGGGGGGGCATATGAACTGAAGAAACCCGGAGGCTTAAATTTGCAAAACTTGCCCAGGGCTGCTGGAAAGCGAATGCTGCCAAGAAGCCCCACGTGCCATCATGGCTGTCGCCTGGTCAAACCTTGGAAGCTCTTGCAAGCTGCGTTCAAAGTACTTACAAGGAACAAAGTCATACAACGTCCGCCAGTCTCAGGCCCCAGGCACAAAGGGCTCCTCTGAAAGCCCATCTTCTGAGCGTCGCGGGCAGGCAAACGCCTGCCGCCAATCAACCGCGGGTCACAACATGATAAAACTAATTGTAACCGCATGCAATCGCACAGTGAAGGCAGAAGGCACTTACTTGCAGCCCGGCGCGTCTCTAGAAATCATTCGGAACCGAGCAAGGCTGACGCCAGCGACTTGGTCAGTTGTACTGCCGCTGTGGGGAACGAGGGTAGCATGCCAAGACTATGGCTATGCCAAAGCCAAGTCCAGCCCACCATGGGGTTCGTCCCGTAGAGCGGCTGCTGGCCCCCGGGCCAATGAGCAACAAATGCCTCACAAAGAAGTGCTAGCAAAGGTTGACTGGAGCCCTGTCCGTGAAAGACCCCTCCTTGGAGTTGAGGAAGGCCATTGCGACCAGCCCGTGCCTCGGATCATCTCGGCATTCCATTCGCCGGAAGAATTAATTTGGGAGTTGTTGCGTTTGCTTCTGTTGTTGCTCCTGTCGTTGTTGTTGTTGTCGTTTCGTCGTTGTTGTTTGACTGTTCCTGGATATTTGCAGCATTTAGACATGAGCTCGACAGCTCCAAACGCGGTAAATTGCGCAACTCGCGGGGCTTCACTGCTCCAACTGCTGAAAACTACGGCATGCCCTGGTACCCGTCAACTCCAAACACGGCACATTACTGCATCTCATGGTTTTCGACAATTTCAATCTCGTACATCTTGTATATCTTGCCGTACGCTGCAGCCCCTCTGGTGGAGCCACATTGCTAGCTTGCGTGTCGCTGCTCTCTCTCTCTCTCTCTCTCAGGTTGTCTTAGGCTCGCACCGCGCCGCCAATGCCTCGACGTCTTGCCATAACCTTCCATTCTTAGCATGGAAAAATCAGGGACCCTCTGGTAAGATCAAGATGGGCGCACGCAGCAAAGTGGTGGGCACGAGCAATCAAAAGCGCTGCCACTCCAGTCTCCCGTGCCTTCAAAGAGAGACAAAGTCGCGTGTCGCATGTCCGCACTCCCGGTGCCGGTGTGCATCGGTGTGCGCGTCTGCCTTTTCCACCAGCATTGAATGCCCAGCTAAGCACCTTCAGCAGACGTCGCATCTAGGAATCCAAGGTTGGCCACATGGACTGGTGCAGGATCTGACAGTCTTGAGGCACGTACGCTGGAGTAGAGAAGCCCCCCCTCAAGAAGATCGGGGAAAGGCAGTCGCTTTCAATAAAGGAAAACAGGCAAGCTTCTCAGTCGCTTTCTGATCCTTTGAGCAAGAACATTGCATGGATGCGATCACTATACTCTCTCTACCCTCGGTACTGCGGCCTGGCATCTGCCAATGCACACGAAGGGGAAATGCTTCTGACCTGCAGCAAATTTTCCAGTTTTGAGAGCAACAAGCGAAGCCACTGCCAGCGGAGCCTCCGGCAGCACATCACCTCTGACCTCTCACGAATTCCAAGCAGAGCAGATACACGACTCAGAAACAACATGGCAGATGGTATTCTGCGGTCTCCAGAGAACTGTTGGCGCACCTTACCACTCCGCAGTGAGGAGCAGTAGCCCGGCAATCTAAATAGCCCATGCGACTTGCACCTCAGTGGGTTCTGCCGTCCCATTCCCTGCAAGATCATCCGATGCAGGCTGTGATGACATGTTCAGGCATCCCGCCCATCCTGCTCAGCCCGGGTGATATTCGCCTCCGGTCATTCCGCAATAATCGACATGCTGACGTTGCTTGGACTGTGGATGCTCTTCCAGAACGGGTCCTGCGGCACTTTTCCTAGAGCATTTCTCGGAATCGATGAGCACAAAAGAAATCAAAAGTTCATTTGCTGTCTGCCTGTCTTCAGGCGTTACGCGTGGTGTTACGCGTAGCGCTGCATGAAGTCGGTGTGAAACTTGGCAAAGGAGGCCATGGCCCTCTGCATTTTCTCCAGTGTGGGCAGAAAGGTTGTCCGAAAGTGGAATGTACCCTCAACCTGTCTGAAACCGGAGCCAGGAACCACTACCAAGCCTGTAGTCTCCAGTGCTTGCATGCAATAAAACTCGTCCGGCGCTATGCCCTGAGCTTCGGCTGCTTCAATGGCTGCCTTCGGAAGTTTTATCTGAGGGAAAGCATACATGGCTCCGCCGATCTCTTGTAGGGAAATGCCTGGAAGGGCGCTCAACGTCTTCTGCAAGATCTGTGCTTTGTTCCTCAAGGAATCGAGCACCGCTTGCCTTTCTTCATCATAAAGGGCCGCTGCATCCGCAGAAGGGGGCCGAACCATCAAGCCCACAGAAAGTTGCCCGACAGTGTTGGAGCAAAGCTCAATCGACTTCAGCTTCACGAACTGTTCCATGACCTGCGGGTCGAAGTTCTCGAAGATACAGTAGCCTCCTCGAACACCACACTCCCCGAGGAACCCCTTGGATAAGGAGTGAAAGGATGCGACTTCCAAGTCGAGCTGTTTCTCATTCACGATGCTGGACATCGACTTGAAGGGATGTGTGGTCAAGATGTTCTCCTGATAGACTTCGTCTGCGAGCAGTACCAAGCCTTTGTCATGCGCAAAAGTCACAACCTTCTCGAGAGTTTCCGGGGTCAGATTGTTGCCAGATGGGTTTCCTGGATTGATGACAACCAAGCCGCGCACGACTACTCCGCGCTTGGTGGCTTCCTCGTGCGCAGCTTCTAAGGCTGGGATGCTGACAGCCCACCTATTGTCCTCATCCAGGTAGTACCCTACTAGTTCGCAATCCATCAAGGTCGACAGCGCTGAATATAAAGGATACTGAGGTATGGGTGCCATGATTCCCACGCGCCCGCCAAGATGTGTTGCTGCCAAAGCAGACATGACAAGCCTCACGCCTTCGCTAGCTCCATTTGTCAAGAAGACCTGGCTGACGTCGGGCCGGTTGCCGTCACGACGTTCGATGAAGTCACAAACTTCCTCTCTAACAAACTGAAACCCTACAGAGTCAGTGTAAGCTCCTATCTTGGCAGCTTTTTGTGAATACTCTTTCGCGCGTTCCGCTGCCTCTGCGGAGATAAGGCCCAGCTTAACAAGGTCGGCTGCCTTTTCCAAAAGTCGGGGTGCTGTCAGCAATGCCAGCACCTCCCTATTGAAGGACAAAGGTATCTGCCCGACCTGTTGCGGATTCCCTATGTTGCAATGCACAAGCTCTGTGAATGGATACTTGGCTCCGTTGGCAAGTTCCTTTTGGATAGCTGCCGCACGCGTAGGTAATCTTCCACGTACAGCATACTCTGCCTCCAAGACCTTCTGGTTGATGGTCGCCCGTGTCAGGCACTTACATCTCACTGAGCCTTTCAATGGCCAACTGCTTCGTAGAAAACCCAACTCGCTGGAACCCAGTGCCCCCAGGGCTCGCCGTGTCAGCCGCATCTGGGCCACGGCCATCACACTTTTTGTCTTGAACGCAGATGTGCCCTGATGTGCCCTGATGTGCCCCCTTGAGCACTTCGAGCCTCAAAATCGTCTTGCGGCTGGTTCCACACAGTTCCAAGCATGACATGCCTTGGTGCGCAACACCCGAAAGAGAAAAAGGCAAGGTGAGAGAGTGATGAGAGATGCTGAGATGAATCAAAAGCCAGAGCTAGAGCAGAGGTGAAAAGTGGTAGAGGACGAGGAAGAGGAGCCGGAGGGACAGAGAGAGAAAGAGACACAAAGAGAGAGAGAGAAGGAGCCAGAGAACAGTTGCACATACCTGCTGCGCGCCAACTGGAGGCTGACCGAAATTGCCGCCACGGCTGTCTCGTTCAGCCCAGCATGCCGCAACGCCTTTGCCGAATGTTGAAGCCGACTGCATCAGCATGTGAAGCTCCATTCTCTTCAAGCGCTGTTCTGTAGGCCTGCTGGCAAAGCGCCTCACACTCGCGCCTCGGGTTGCTTCACAAACTTCCTTTTTTTTGCCAAGAACTTTTTGCACATCTGCGAACAGAGCTTGAGCTCCACGCAATGTGATCCGTACTTTGCCCATCGTGTCTAGATGTACACACGGCAATTGCACAAACAACTCTGTATGCTGGCTACAGTAGCGGGTAGTCTGGAACGCGCATGGTGCGGCCACATGGTCTGCGAAACTGCTCCCAAATGGCTGCAGAAGTCGACCTAAAACTTCAGCACGAAGAACAATAAGAATCGACAGCGCACAACAAAACAATGCACGTTAAGCAATTTTCTTTGCCCAGCGCAGGTCGCTGCCTTAAGCAGAGGTCAACAGGACTCGTCCTGCTTGCTGGTCTTGGTCTTGCTTTGCTACTTTACATCTTAAAGAGGTGCGATTCGAAAGCCTACTTACTACCAAAGAGCGCACAATCCTCGACCCCGGTCCCTAAACCAGCCTATGAGCTAACCAGGAGGATGCCTAGGTTCCTGCTCGAGCTCATGTCCCGCACATTTCTGCCAAGGGTCCTCCTTCAGAAAAGCTGCGTCTCGCCACATGAGTCACATGCCATCAGACCGGTGAAAATGTTGCCAGCCTGTGGCATTTTGGTGGCATTCCCGTGCATCTTGGGGAGATCAGGGTGGCAAGGAGGCGCTCTTCTGCATGGGCCTCAACACTAAGGGAAGCCGTCGCAAATCAAGGCTAGCCCTGGGCTTTCACAGACTTGATCAAGCTAAAACTCCTTTCAACGAAACACAGCACACGTCAGCACACCCTACCCACATTGCACATAAGACCGCACCAAGCCACGCTGTGCACCACACCCACCCTACCCCCCCGCACCAGGCCAATTCTTTTGCTGTGGTGTAAAGAATAGTGGAGAAAGAGCGCGTGAACTTCACCTCACCACGTCCTGCACCGCAATCCCACCACACCACACCGCACCACAGCACACCACAGCACAGCACAGCACAGCACAGCACAGCACACAACAGAACACCACACCACGACTCCCACCACACCACCGCACCACCGTCTCCAACCTCGCTTCCCTCGATGCTTTCCAGACCCCGACTACACTGCCAATATCTGCTAATGCAGATATACCTCAAGCCTGGATTGCACTAGCTTTCGTGACATCATCCCAGCGTCTCCATTTTCAGAGCTTGCACCAGATCTCCTCAGCACCGAGCCCGCTGGCTCCAGTCGTCAATGATTCTGCCTTTGACAGTTCGCTCCGCTCCCATTGCTACAAGTAGAAAAGTGTGCGAAGCTGCGCGATCCATCCAAGCAGCCCCAAAGCGGCCAAAGTCAAATCGAGGGAAACGCTTCAACTGTCTCCTTGCACAATGCAGTACGCCTCGAACATCCAAGGCAATATGATTTTCCACGGCCGTGGCCGTCCTCTCCCCTCCGCATGTCGACGACGACACCAGACTTGACGTGGGACTGGGCAAGGTCGGCAAAGTTGCCTTAGACATGTTCTTTGCTTCTTTCCGCGCTGTTCGCATCACACGCATGGTGCTGAGGTCACCCACCGTTGACTCCGGAGACGCTGTGGCCGCTAAAGATAAATGCTGCCTGGGCTTAACCACGACATTCTTCACGCGCCTGCTTAGTTCGTAAGAAGTTGGGAAGCACACGGGCGTTTCGCTCTCCACCCCTGGCAAGCAACACACAAGAGACTCGCTGGAGCAGTTATAAGAGTGCTTGAGCGCCGCCTTCGGCGTGCTAGCTGCCTTCCGAGCAACAGGCTGGAACATGCTGGGACCCCGTTGCTGCTCCGCAAGTGAAGCACAACTTACTCGTGTTTGTTCCGCCTCTCTGTCTCTGGTCCTCAACTGCACAGCCTCAGCCTGCAGCTTCAGGTCCAACCAACTGGAATTGCTTGCACTTCCCATATCATTGTGCAAGTTGAGTGCCTCATCTGCAAAGGAAGTCAGCCGCTGCACAACATCCTGCATGTGCATATTACATCCGCATATGCTTGTGCCGCTTGCCCCTGATACTGGTATCAGATGGTGTCAGTGGTGCCTTCCGCCGCTGCTCACGGCGTCTGACCTCTCTCTTTTCAGCCAGGCCTGGCACATCATTGCCGAGTTTGGGCAAGAGCCACTGCGGAGTCACTGCCGAGTACAAACGGAATGTACAACTGGCACTTACAGTAAGAGACGAGAGAATGAACAAGATAAACTTGCAAGCCGGGAGCGCGGTTCATCAATCGCCTCAACGCTTTGAACTCCTGCAATTTGGGAGTCGCAGGTTGGCCTTGCTCTATTTGGGCACTGTGATTCCTTCAAGTCAAATCTGTCCTTCTTCACTTCGATTAATTTCGCCACCCGAAGATTGCGATCATGGATGCGTGCCTCAACAACACCAAAACCAGTGAAGGCGGAGGTCACTTTGCAAGAACACTTGGACTCTAAAGAGTGCTTCGGGTGTCCTGTGCGTTCTTCTGCTTGTTGTTGAGCGTTACCTGCTACGTGAACCGCCCAACATGTCGACGTGAAGCGTTGACAACATGCAATGCTTCAGCCACACATCACACGCAGGCAAAGCAGGGAAAACGCCTTGAATGCATCGTTCGCTTTGCTTGCCATGGCATGTCCTCTGAGCCACCTAGTCCGGCGCTCAATCCACTGCCTGCCATAAAATCATTTGCTCACATATTCTGCTACCACGTGCAATGCTGAAGGCAGACCTCGAGAACTTGACTTTGGCCATGTCACGCAGACGTCCAACACGCTTCTTCACCTCCTCATTGGCGAGCACAAGCTCTCTCAAGCTCGCAAGGACTACACCATACCACACCCGAATCTGATGCTTCCCCAAGTCGTGGGCCACATCTCGCTCGGCAAGCTTCACCGTCTCCTCAGTAGCACAACCGGCTTGGGATGCAGAATAAGCTCACGAGATGGTACTCGGTAGCACTGGTGAGATGGTGCTGTTGGATACCTTCGCTGTGAAAACGCGGTGGCCTCATAGCGAGTATCTTCTGCGCGAATCTGTGCTTGGTGGACGGCCTGAATGCCCATAAATGCTCAGAAATCATGCCTGTACAATCATGAAAGATGCCGTTGCTGACCTCGCGGCGCTCGTACCAAGAATCGCAACCTGGAATCCAGCAACGGCAAAGCGCAAACATCCACAGGCCCCATGTCCGACCCCCATATCGTCACTTCGCATCCCTCAAGTCACACTCCCAGCTGAGACCATCGCGACGGTAAGCATTGGCAAAGTTTGTCTCCTTCAGAGGAGTTGGCACATCCCACTATTTCGCGCGTTGCATAAAGGGCGAGCAACTAGAGGGAGCGAAGCAGAAGGCGAAGCAGAAGAGGAAGCGGCGAAGAGCAGAGTGAAGAGAGAGGTAGAGCAGAGCAAGCGGAGCAGAGAGCACAGCAGCAAGCGAGCATTGAGACTTCTGAATCACTGAAAACTTGGCAACTCGGGCAATTCGGGAGTCCTGCGCGGAACTTTCCCACGGTCCACGGCTCTCCTCTCGTCCGCAGTGGCTGAGCACAGAGAGACACTCAAGCTCTTTCTTAGTCTTTCAGTTGCTAGGAGTTCTGCAGCTATGCAGTTTGCAAAGGCTGCTGCGAAGGAGGTCCCCCCCACACCACCAGGCCCCCGTGCAGGTGAAGCTTTACGTCAGGACATCTCTTGCGGTGAGGCTATGTCAGCTCAACTTTTTTGTCTGCTCCAAGTCTTTGTCAAGCTCTCGGATCACCGGTATCAAGAAGGACAAACCAGTCCAAAAGTCGATCAAGAAAGCGCAGATCCAGATGAGGAAGGATCAGAAAGAAATGCTTGAGGCAACAAAAACACCACTCCTGGCTGCACGCTTCTCGATGACCTCGCCACGAATTGACCTGACACGTGACGATGTGACGGTGCGTCAGTCTGCTTGGAACCGTGATGCAGCCTCCTGGATATGATCATGAACACGTCGCTTTTGAGCATTTGCAACAGCTATCAGCGACCTCAGAGCAGATGCTCATGTAGCAAAAACCATTGGCGAGGTACGACAGGCCCCCGGAAAAGCATCTGGCTCAACGTCGCCGACAACCTGAGATCTTTTCAGCACAAATGCTTGGCACGGAGGACCTTTCGGGTGTATTGGGAAAGGGTTTCTGCCTGGTTTCATATTGATGGCCCACATAAAGGACATCCACACACTGAAGCTCTCAGCCAAACACATATCAACCCGGCGCAGGTGCGTTCTGCCCATCTGAGACGGTCTCGTGTTTTCTCCCTCCGCACTATGCAGTGCGTGATTGGTGAGTGGTTAAGCTGATTCAATTCGGACGTCCTGGTTGGTGACTAGTACCAGCAGCAACTAGGTGCTACGGATCCGGGCTATCTACGCAGCGCCTGTGATAGCGAAAGGCCTCGAGCTTATGAGCATAATCCCGGGTACGGTGATGTACTTTGCAAGCCTCGTTTCTGGGACCTGTATCTTGTCTGCCCAAATGCAAACACCGTGTTATCGGCGTATGTTGGGTCATGAAGGAACTGCTTCTGGCTGTAACACCATGGTGACAAAAGACCTTACTCTGCTGCTTCCGCGCAGGTGTACAGCCTGTTTACCTGTTTGAATGCAGACCTTCTGCTCCTGATCCACATGCAGATCAGCATTTGCAAAGGATCTCTTCAAAAGGGGCAGCTGCAGTTACAGTACGTTACTACGTTACAATAATCAGTTCATAACAGTTTCCAAGGCCCTGAGGCTTGGGCCCCTTTCCTGTAAGAATGAGGACTAAAGTGATTAGGGTAGCGGGCCATCTCACGCCGGCCAGCGTCAAGCTCCAAATAAGCAGAGACCGAAACCCAGCTCAGGCAGGTGCGTACTGTAACTCCTGATGTCTCTCACGCGACCGTCTCCGACGTTGCCTCATCTTCAAACGATTCAAACGAAAGGTGCACGTTGCTTCCACAGCTCGCTGATGCGATGCCTTTCGACTTCTGCGAGCGCTTCCTTGGCAGTCTTTCCTGAAGCCTAAGCACAAACAGTATCATCGACAGATGTATGAAAATGTGCTCTTCCCGACCCTACTGTGCATGAAGATCCTGGCGTCAAGGGCTACACCACGACCATCAGCGCGGCTGCCTGCAAGAAGACAAAAGATCACTACCGTTACTACCATGAATCACGATAGCTGGCGGCGCACCTTTCGAAGGTTTGCTGTCGGCTCTGACGTGCCTTATAAGCGAGCTCAGCGGAGCTTAGGATCTCACTTTCGCATGGCGAAAGGCTCCGGCGTGGGGTAACCACCAGGATGAGCTCGCTCTAGTACCTTCGATGCTATCGTCCCTAGCTACGACAGGGATTGAGGCGTGCAAAGCCGCAGCTGGGAATGGGATGACATGCAGTAACTAACGAAACAAAGGTATCAGTCAGTACGTAGCCACGCATGGAGATCAATCCTAGAGCCCAACGAACACTACATGGCTTTTTCATTGGCACACATTCTGTCGACTCTCTCCTCTGCCCGTGAAGCCGCCTTCTCCAACTGCATCCAGTACTGAAGATCCTGCGACTGGAGTCGGAGTGTTGGAGAGTGTTGGCATCGCTGAGCATCTCAGATATTGCACTCCAGCCATCCTCAAAGAACTGACTGGTCAGCGGGTACCTTCGCAGGCAAAGCATTCAGCCAACTCCTTCTCACTTGCCCATTCCGGGAGCCCTGCACATGAGGCTCCAAAATGCCAGCCCTGAGAAAAAGAGACGACACTGTGGCCAGCGATGCATGGCATGTTCAGCTGGGTGCTTCCAAGCAGCCAATTTCCGCCTATGCCTGCAATCTGCTCTTCTGGACAACCTCAGCAACAGCCAACACGTTCCTGCATCGTCTCCCCACTTCGTCCTTCGGCTGAAAACGTGAGGCGCGAATAGCAACATGTTCACTGCACTGCTAGGGGTGGAACTTGCAGCGTTCAAGAAGCGTGGCATAGCCGTGGGTGCAGCGGACCTGCACTTTGCAGCCGCCACTGTCCACAAGCAGAAGCACTCAACGGTTGTAGGATTGCCACGGGCGATCAACACCGTCATCCTGCTTGCCTGAAAGCGGCTGCTACCGAATAAAAAACTTCTGCTGTGCGGAGAGTGGTGGCAGATTCGGCCGAGGTCCAAACTGGAGCAGTTGATGGACGTCATCCAATCGCGCGTGCTGGCGGCATACTTCCAAATGCTCCAGTGAGATGAGAAGCCGTCAAAGTTTGGAAAGACACACGCACACGCATGAGAACAAGCAGCAAGTGCATGATACCAACAATCCCAACAGACCCGAAACAAGAAAGCATTTCATGGACCTGCGGAAGCAATAAACAGCAAGGATTGGCGGGCTCAACATCTCATTGATGATTCTCGCAGGTTTTGTGTCCCAAGCGAATGTCACCGGCAGGCATAATTGTCTTCGCTGGTGCCAACCTTCTGCGATCCCCGGGCACCCCCTGTTGGAATTGCATCAAGTATACTGCGCACACGACCTGAGTGAGCAGCCCACGCACACTGATCCACTGGCAACACAGCTTTGTGTTGTCTCGAGAGGCAGGTGCCAAAGGCGGCTGTTTCTCCATGGGTTCCCTGAGACCTAGCAAGAGCCGCGGCCCTTAAAACGTGGAACAAATGACTTTGTTGAGGATGCCGTCAGCTTGCATAAGCCACGGCCCTGGGCCCCATGCCGGGGCTTTCTTTCAGGGTTCCGAGCAATCCCTTGGGACCCCTGCTGAGACTATGTCAAATATACTCAAAGCGAGCAGGGTTGGTCACACAACATGTACGTGTGTGTGTATATACTATGTATATATATATATATATATATATATGGCAGCAGGTCACCTTCTTCCACCACGGGTTGGAAGCCTTCCATGCCCTGGATCAGGCGTTCCGCGGTCAGATGATGGCGAAGCGGTGTGAGTCAAGACAACCCTCGGAGAGAAGAGAGGAAACTTTTAGGGAAACGGAGGCATGAGTCGAGCAAGCAGCGACCACAAGTTGGGGAAGCCCTAAATCATTGACATGATGAATGCAAAACCCGAGAACAGAAGATGATCAATGGTTCAGGTGCAACACCCCGATAATGGGGGGAGGGGGGGAGGTGCGTTGGTTGGGGAAGCCAAACAAAGATAGGGCAGATTCAACCTAAAGGGTGATGATGATTGGGAAGCCCAAACCCCAATCCTGACAAGACATGTGACATGCGAGAAAGCCTCCACCCTAAAGGAAGACGGAAAGGGGGTGGGGGGGGTGGACGGGCTGGGAATGATCCCTGACATGAGATGAGGGGATGTGAAACCCGAAACCTTAAAAGGAGATGGATCGGAATCCGATCGGCAAACCAAAAAGAAATGATTGAGATGATTCCTGGGAAGCCTTCGGCATCTTCAGGCCCTGAACCCGAAAAGGGCATTCGGACCAAAGAACTGACAAGTCTGCAACCCCACACAACACACCAGGGCGCCTCTTGTCCAGCCTCCAGACTGGATGCTTCAAAGCCGAAGGCAATGGATTCAAAGTCTGAGCTAGTCCAGGCGCCCTGCTCAGAGTCTTGGCCAGTATCCTTCGTATGGCCATCTTGCTTGGGGTTGAGAAGACTAGGGTGACTAGGGACTAGTGATGAGAGTTGATGAGAGTAGTGCACAGCATCACTGTGCCCCAAGGGGCCGCTGCCTGCTCAATGATTCTGCGCCGCTGTGCTCGGCACATAGACAGGGTGTCTTGTCGCCACGCCTTTAGGTCTTTAGGTGCACAAGCAGCATAAGAGCAGCCCCTAAAGGCACCTAGCCCTTGAGACTTGAAGTGACTTGACTTAATTCTGAGCCTCGAAGAAGTCATGGTGCAGCTGCATTATCCTTCGGTCCAGGTCTGGCCTTCGGCGCTGCCAACGAGAAAACGAGCAGGACAAAGGAAGGAAAACCACGGCAAGGGCTTAGTGGCGGACTCCCAAAAGCACTCCGCAGGGGCGTAGTACAGCTCCTAAGTTGAATCGCAAGGCCCACTTGTCTGCTACTGGCGCCAGGTCAATGTAGCTTTCTTGGTCAAGGATGTGGCATCAGGCGAAACACCCTGAAGCTCTAGAGCCCGCAGCCTCAAGATTCAAGAAAGCACAAATGGAGCGAAGTCGTCCGGAAGGACCATGCAGGCTCTGTTTCTCCTCTCTCTATCTCATGAACGTTCTGTCTATCACGTTTATCACTGTCACTGTAGTTGGCAGACTGAGCCGGCGTACGAGCGTGGGGACAGCACATCGACCTTCTCGTCGTAGCCTTGACGATGGAAGAACCACCGATTGCTGCAGCCCTTCCCGGCCCTACCCCACGTAACACGAAACACTGCTGGGCGCCAACCGTCAAACTCTTCGAGATTTACTAGCGGTGCTGCCTGCACTTGGTCGAACAACTTGTTCTGGGCTTAAGATCACGCTGAAATGTCTGCCGCATGTCGGCTACACAGCCTCTGAAACAGTGGACAGCGAAGGGCCCTCGTATAGCAGCTCTTTCCTGCCAGGATGAGACAATCAACGCACTAGCCACAGTTGCGGTCTGACAAGCCTGGTGCCAATCTTCTGTGCATCGTGCATCTTGATCATGGCCTGGCATGAATGCTTGCAGAAAGGTCAGAGGCTTATTGGAGGCGCTTCGGGTTTGGAACCTAGTGAACGAACAACGTGACCACCTGCTTGGGCAGGTGCCAGGCAACTGAAATGAATGCAAAAAACATGTGTCGGACTCTTCAGGTACATCGCCATGTACTAACATCCTTTGCACGGCAACAGATGAAGCCGGGAGGCGGTGAAAGTAACACTCAACGAGGTTATATGATTCATGGGAACAAATGGGTCGTCACCTCTCAGCCTGCTCAGCAGGACTCCGCTTCAGAAACTTTCCCATTCGCGGCATATGCATTCATTTTGCATATATACATATGTATATATATATATATGTATGTATGTATGCAGAATATATCACCAGGCTGTGCTGTCCTGCTCAAACTTTGCCGGCAAGACCCCGTTTGGCATCTGCCTGCAGATGTCTACAAATGGTCTACAATAATCAGTTTCAGTAGTTGCAATTCTGAGAGCAGTGCTTCAGAAACTGGCCATCTGTGGCGATCTTGGCGAATGGTGCAGAAGGTTAAAGCTGCGGTCAAATCGGATCCGACGTGGTTCATTGGTCCTGCCTCTGGCCGGTCGAACAAGTCCGCAAGGACTTTCTTGATGTCACCAAGTGGTGAGGACCGATCCACAGTAACTTGGACGGCCTGACCAGGAGGCTCTGAAAGGTGAACAAACGTGAGCAAAGGCAAGCAGACACCCAGAGATTGTGCTTCTCGAGAAGCGCCTCATCGCTTGTGACACCAACCGGCCGAATCGAAATTGTGGTCTCCCCCTGGTCCTGCAAGATGGTCATGGTAGAGGCGCACTACATTTCAACATGCAGCAAGACATGACAGGTACAAGCATCCTCCATCGCAGCCTCAGCCACACACGATTGATACTGCGCATGTCACTTCTGCAACTACTTCGCCAGCACATCTGAAGATCTTAGTCAAGTCGGGCGGCCAGGCAGACCCACTCACAGTCCAGAGTAGATCAAACGAGTTCCGCGGATGAAGCTTGAAGAGTTACAACTCATGGATCCGAAGGCTTGCAGTTCCACAGCTTCATGTTTGTGCCAGTTTTTGCTTGCAACTCTTGTTGTATGTACAGCAAGAAGTCCAGGCCTTAGGCCGTGCTTCTTGCTTGAACCCACCCACCCCAACAAGCCGAACATCGACGTTCTGATCGTGACAAGCGAACATGGGTCTGCCTGCTTATTCTTGAAACACTCCGCATCACAGCACTTTTTTCTGAGGCGCTGCAAACGCCTGCAACTGTCAGCTCCGTTTGCTGGCCTGCAACTTGATCACTGCTCCACTCCCATTGACCACCAGTAAGCAGTAAAGAATTACAAGCATGCCCGTGACCTGCTTCCTGCACACATAGATAGCCATGGTCGTCAGCGCTAGAACCGCAGATATGGCCAGGTACACCCGAACCTTGCACTCGGGTGATGCTTCAGAGCCCTTGGAAGCACGGCAGGCTCAGCAGACTGAAGAAGTCAGGATTGCACGTTGGTAGTTGACTGCTTGGCCTGTCAGGACCCACGTTTCTGCGCAGAAACTTTTTACTTGACATGTCACGCATACTCCACTGCCTCCGCCACCAAAGATGTAGGCAACTCGCCATACGGCTCCATCTTTGCAAAAGCCGGATGGGTGGAGCCTGCCGCAATAGAAGAGCACTCAATCGGAATCAGATCCGCTAGCCGCTAGCCGCTCTCAGCCGAGGCAGACGCCCGCTTTGAAGAGCGCCTTCAAGTGAATTTCGGTGCAATGGCTCATAGGGAAGGCTACCATTGGCCCGTTGCTGTGTGGCCTCCAGAAGAGCCTGTGCAATGCGTGAGCGTGGAGCAGGCTTCTGCGTCCAAATCCTCAGAGTCTTGTCCCACTTTGCAACTATGTAACTTCGCGCTACAGCTGCAATGCAGGCTTCTTCGTGTGTAAGACGGGAACTCACATTGCGCGCAGCCTTGCTCGAAAAGCATCTCAATACCTTCCACAACCTGGTGGACAAGGCTGCTGACATCGAACACGTGGAAACTTGCATGAGACACTGATCGCCTCGCAACCTGCGTCCAGGGCTTGACAAACGAACGCTGTTCGTCGTGGGATGTAAGCCTCAGAGATAGCTGATGTCTGACAGTACTCTCCCCGCTGCAATGAGTGAATTGAAAAGGGTTGCCAGCAAACTGATCTGGCCACTACCCTCGGCCTTTGCATTTTGCATCAGCTCAGCGCTTTGGTTTGTTGGCAGCACTTGCTTCGCCTGGAGAAAGGTCTGCGAGCACCTCCTCACGGAACTTGGGTGAGGGAGTAGAAGCGCATGGAGTGTTGTGGGAACGCACGGCCCAGGACCCAGAATCGCCACGGATCGCGAAGCGTGGAGCTTCAGCATGCAGGCACTGGCACGGGGGACTGGGTCTTCATGCTCAGCAGCCTTAAAACTCGGCATCCTCTCTATCAGGGTGTCTACCATCCGTGCTCGGACAGAGAGTGCGCCATCGCCCGGGCAAAGCTTCTGCGGCTTGCGACCGGGGTCTGCTCCCTCGTCTAACATCCTGAGAGATTCACAACTGTTCGGCCTCATCCAAGACGACGCGGATGGTTGTCTTATGTTGTCTTACGGTCATGATACAATGGGTAGGAAACCTCTGCCACTCATTCCACTCTGACACTGAGAGATGCGCAGCCTCCAGAACTACTGGTCGGCACCTGCACCAGGTAGCCGTTACTTGCTACTGTTCTGCTAGCAGCTGGCATTGCCACAAGGATGCACCTCCTGAGCGCGGAGGAATCTGGCAAAGTGAACTGAGTGCTTCCCGGCCTCGGGAGCTGTCAAGCACAATCACTGTCACACGCCATCACATGCCCCTTATGAGCACGAAGAAGAAAGCAATCAGGCTTCAAGTACTCGACAATTTGGCTGTGAGGCGTGCAGCGTGTTCACCACCACATGCAGATCTTGGACGTGCTGCAAACTATCAAGATCTGGACAGGCCTGCGCAGAATGGCGGCACTCATTCTCACGAGCCAACAGCCAGAATAAACACAACGTAAGGATTCGTAAGTCAAGGACACAAAGACCAAAAAAAAAACAAGCATGACATGCAACACCACAACACAGCGCCTCAAAGCCAAACTCTTGCGCAAGCTCTTGCGCACGGCTGGCCTTGACAGTCGTACATAGATGGAACAGAACGCAGAACCCAGCTCTTGAATGACAAGTAGGGACCTGGCTGTCCTGTTGAAAATCAACACTCTAGTTGCCCCCATTTGCCTCTGCGTCGCCAAAGCCGCAAATCACGACCACTCAAAAAGCTGCTGCGAATTGATAGTCTGAGGCATGGTCTTCATGGCATAGGCGGCTGCCCTTGCCGTACCGCCAGCTCCACAAAGAAGGCCTGCATGTTCTCACTGGAGCCAAGTTCGAAAAAAGACTTTTGAACCATTCCCACCGGTTGCTTCTCCAAGGGTCGAGCAGGTCAACTTATCGGTCTTCCGGCCTCCAGACAGTTTGCTGAAGTTTCTATTCAGCTCATCACAAGTAGAATGCGGAAAGCTGCTTGGCGGACCTCTGAGTCGAGCTTCGAGCTGGTTCTTAATGCCAAGCCAATCCTGATGTTGTGAACACCGAAGCTTCCGCATGTGCTGCAGAGGTGCAAGACAGAAACACCAGCAACGAGCTCTTCCCTGTGTGAGAAGCGAACTGTGTTGTCGCCTTTGAAACGGCCGCTGCACTTGGTCACCTCGGGTACAGCACTGTTCACACGCAGTACTCTTCACACGCACGAGAACTGTCGGCAAGCATTCCATTGTACTGATGTGGCGGACCGTATTGACTGCACCAATGACGCGGGCAGCATCAGACAACTCGTCCATGTGTTCTTTGATGGATTCCTTCATCGTAGCCGTGCGTGCTGGAAAAGAACACGATCCAGCAGCGTGCCTTGTGCGGTATGGTCACCTTGTTGTTGGAGCACATAGCACTTTCTTCAACGAAAACAACGCAAAACCAATCCTGTGAATGAAACGGTAAAAGGTTGCTGCCAAGGCACCGAGCCACCACCACAAGAAGGTTTGCGCAATTCGGCCATGACCTCTTTGCGGCTGCATCAGGCAATCAAGCAGATCGTTCTGATCTAACTGTGCCGGCCTTTTCGATGTCCGGGGTGTCAAACCGGCCGTACACATGTGGACCTTCAACCCTCAAACTTCACCCATGTTCCTCACGTTCCTCCAAAGTGCATCTCAGGATCTGGCTCAGATTCTCCGAGAAGCCCGTGCCGTGGATGGTTGGTGATGGTGACATGGTGACCGGACTGCCTGGCGACTCTGCGATGGTCGTGCCACGTCGAGCGCACTGAAAACATCACACAGAATCACACACACACACACATACACACACTCACTCACTCACTCACTCACTCGCTCACTCACTCACTCACTCACTCACTCACTCACTCACTCTCACACACGCACACGCACACACGCATAAATCAAAAACTCGCCAGACGTCTCCGAAGATGAAGAACTGAAGAGATTCACTCGCCATGGCAGCTATCAATAAAGCCCCACCAAGATGCGAACGTTTACCAAACTCTTGGGGCGACTGCCCTTGTGAAGGGCCGCAGCCAGACTGCCACTGCTCTCATCAGGATTCTTGATTCAGCTTTGTCAGCGTTGGAATTCAATGACAGAAGTTGACCAGCAGTTGGGCATCTATCTCTTGACACATGATGGAATAAAAACACGTTACTTGGGGAGCGTCGCTTGATATGAGGTGAACCTGTTTTTCGAGGTGCATCTGGAGCCTACACGCCCGCGCACAGCCAAGTCTGGGGCGAATACTCTGACCGGACTGCCGGACCTGTTCAGCACAAACTCCCTCAATAATCTGCTTCCGTGTCGCAAGGAGCCATGGGGCATCTCTTCTGAACGTTTTGTCTTCTAGCTCGCTTTCGAGGCTCGCTAGTCATGACAGGCTGGCTGAACCTGAAACGAAATGCCTTCTGTGTATTTCTGTGCTGCGGGGGGTTGGCGGCTGTCTAGACCGAGCATCTGCTCCCGCGCACGTCTCAGGCTCAGCCAGCAGTGGCCTGAGGCCATTCTTTGATGGTGCAAACAGGTGAGACACCTCATCGGGCACACACGCACCTGCTGGAGTGGTGACGGCGCTAGTCGAACGATCTGGAAGAGCGCTGCATGCCAAGCTAGCATAGCTTCCTCCTATCCGAACCCGACGTCAAAACACAGCGGCCACAACTGTTTCGTGGTGTTTCGTGTCACTCAGACGTGTCAAGCGAAGACATGGCTAACATGTGTGGAAAGGACATATGCACAGTGCCGCATGAACAGGAACTGAATGCGAGCGCGCCGCCGGAGACTGGAACTCCCTCCCACAACGCGGCACATGCTGCCACGGACATCAACGATGCTAAAGGCGGGATCTCCATGCTTCCTTGTTGCACAAATCCACACACGGGAAGGAGGCGGACACCAAAAACTCACCATGGCACAGCACCCGACGCTTCGGCGACTCGGGATCCAAAGAGACCCACACATCTCCCACCCACCGCACCAGAGTCAAGCGTTCGTCGCGGCTTTCGTCGCGCTAGTCACGTTAGTTGTCCAGCCCCATGTTGGCCGGCGAAGGCATCTCACTCTTCCAGACATGGCTTGAAGCCAATTTTTCGGTAACGGGGTGAAACGCTATGGGAACACACTCCCTCCTAACGGAGTCTGGGGTGGCGTCGGTGGAAATGCTGAGACTTGACAACACTTGACTCTGACTTGCCATTACATGAATAGAATCAGCATTTCATGTTCCCGTCGCCAGCAGGACATGATCTGTACACATGCAAAGCATTGCTCGTGCAACATCTTTAGGTCTATGCGCTTTATGGATTGTGTGTACATAGTGCCTTTGCTGAGCGCGAGCATCGGCAGAGCTACGCGCAGCGCCATGGGGGCAACTTAGTACTTCAGGGCCAGGAAGGCAGCAACTCCGGCTCGAATCCACACCTCAGCGCACCGCACCAAAGAGACAAATCACCGGGCAAAGCCGAAAAAGTTCGGCTTGCTGAGTCGACAAAATGCACAGCACCACTTCAGATCCAGGCATCTGGATCGTCCACAGTGGGTAGGATCATGTCCCGAACAAAATTTGTACTGTGGCCAGTGGTGGACAGAGTACCCTTTCTGCTCAACACCTGCACAAGGTGAGCAAGACGCAGGAGCATGGGCACGTGTCGCGACCTGTCTTAGCAACCGGTGAACAGCCGGTGAACAAACCTTGCCTTGTAGACAGGGCAGGGATACACTCCGGGCTTGCCCTTGAAGTCCAGTGTGGGGACGAAGTGCACGACTGGAACCTGCAGGCAGGGAAACAGTCTCATGCCACAAGCCAGCGCACGCCCAAAAGAGCAACCAGTTTTCACCATTCGAAAGCGTACCATGACCCTGCTGCCGCCGCAGAGGAGGGTACTCCCTACCGGTAGTCACTCATGAAAGATGGCAGTACCACAATGCTTCACCCGCACTGCTACTGCCCGTAGCTACCGGAGCACTCTGCGGAAAGGCCGCACCGACAAAGACGACAAGGGCGACGACAGAGAGGCCAGCAAGGGCATCCCGAAACAAAAGAAGCCACCTCTATGGAAGCCCTTCCTAATCCTAATCATGTGACGGTGCATCTACCTCCTGCGCATCCCAGGAAGGGCATCCATGCCATCAAGCTGCCACCAATAGGGGAGTACGCCAACAACCCCTAACACTCGCCTGCCCCCGCTTCCACTTACCCGGCCCTTCACAAGATGATGAGTTGTTGTGCCTGGGTGAAGAGCACCTTTGGCATCGATGGTGCCAGGGCGTGGAGGTTGTCATCCCACCGGCAGCCTTCTAGAAAGAGTCCATACCTGGCGAACATGTTGTAAAGCCTGGATCAAAGCAACGTGAGCACACATAACTAAAGCTGCTTGCCCGGACGAAGTCATGATAATACGGGTCAGCAGCACATGTAGGATCCTGCCTGTAGGAGAGGCACGCTGGCTAAAGAACTTTGGAAACCATGTGGGGCACTAGGGCACACAGGCCTCGGGATGCTCCGTTAAATCACTTCCGTCCAAAAGGACGTCATCTCGCACCTGCCCACCCATTGCGAGCATTGCGAGCGTACCAGCATGTCAAAATGTGCAGCTCTCTTGGGCTGACGAAGGCAACTGACAGACCACGCCTCGATGTCAAAGTCGATCCGGTCGATCGGGTACTTGTGGGCACGGGCCTACACACTTTGCGGGGGCTCCAAGTCACACTCCGCTCCCTTGGGAAGCCAGCGCACGTGGCTGACAAGCTTGGCTAGGATGCACATAAAGGGCTTTGTGGGGCATTAGCAAAGCTTGGCGCCCAGCGAAGTTCTGCATGACCGCAGTCATGAATGCCTGACACACGCATCTCCATCTGCATGCGGGCTGCCTCACAAAGCCTCCAAGAGCGTCTTCATGCAGTCACAGGCTTCAGAAAAGGCTGAGCTGCACACCTGTGGGAAAAACAGACCGGGGAGCCAGAAAGAAATAGGATGGCCTGGCGGGTGGCGTCTGGGTGTGTGCAATGTTTAGGGACTGGCACTATCACCCAAATCCTGCTCGCCACTACACTGCAACGATCACCACTCCAGAAGTCTCCAGGAAGGCTGAGTCTATCGGTGTCAGGTCTGCTGGCAGCAGTACCTCCCTGGTGCTGCGAACTCACATGCGGGCATGGCCTCCTTCGTACCACTTATTGAAGAAATCGATGCGATCGTTCAAATCCTGCCACCAGCTCTGCCAGATATGCTTCCACAGCTGCTCTGCTGATACTGTGTCGCATGAATTCCGGTCCAAAGCCAAACTTTCACGATTCCTCACGTTCCAAGCTAGGGGCCTTGTACCAGGATGTCAGCGGCTTCAGCGAGAGGAAGCCGATACCAGCCCAGCCTGCGCAGAGGAGATGGAATGCTCCGGGTGTCATTCCCGGTGCGCTTTGCAATCCAGGGGGCGACCCTACCGAAAGGCTGCCCGGCGCCCCAACCGCGCGTTCCAATCCAGCCTTCTGGAACCGCATTCATGAAGAAGCCCTTCCCGATAGCCTCCAACTCGTCAGTCATGACCTGATCAGAGCTCAGTGTCCATGCATTTGAGCCGCTTTAGCCTACAGACTCATGGAACCCTGACGTTGGGCTTGCTGTGGCTGGGCTCGGCACAACAAACCCTTTCACAGCTCGACGGAAGAGAGGGAGCTGCGCTTTCCTGGCAGCTCGTCGGCTCCGACTCAAAGTTTGCACCGATTCGCCTAGGTCTGTTAAGATATCACAGGCTTGGACAAGTTTGTACGGCCACCAAAGACGTCTGCTGGGACAGCAAACCGACAACATGGCAAGGTCAGGTGCGTGCAGGATGGGGGAGATCAAACGTGCCGGGTGAGCAAGAGAGCAAGGAGCTTGTTGTACTTTGCAGCCTCCTGCTTTACCACGGTGTTGCGGGACCTCCGACAGTGCAGGGTGCATTCTGCGGAGTTAATCCAAAAAAGCGCACGGATTAAGTCGTTCACCCTACACGCAGCAGTCAGAAATCACGTGTTCCTCAGGCCCGGGCTCCTCGTACTTTGTTGGGAAGCGGTCCTGCCAGACACCCTCATATACACAATGGACGGGCTGGCATACAACAACAGCCATAACAACATTCGTGACAATCATATCAATCATAGCAACTATGACGATAACAACGAAGACGACAATAATAACAACACCGTGAGGACATGGACGCTCTCGCACGCATTGGTATCATGATTTCATGAGAGAGAGAGAGAGAGAGTTGTAAACGGACACATTGTGGGTACGGCCGTCAGTCAGTGCCCCTCGCCCCCCACGCCCCCAACTTTCCAAGTCAGCACACCTTCCACGGCGGCGAGAAGCGTGCAATGGCGAGAACAACAACAATAACAAGAATAACAAGAACAAGAACAACAACAATCATAACAAGAACAACGACAAAAATGCTTTGGCAGCCTGGCACGTGGGAAATCCATGAAAATAAACACCATCCAGCTCCTAAAGGCAATACAGACCAAAGACCGTGTGGACCACAACGTATTCGGGAAACGAGAAACACTAAGACACCGGTCTACACCATGCATCATTTCCTGAGTTGAAGGACAAATCAGAGCCGGGAGCAGGCCGAAAACATTCAAATAGGTGGAGGAGTATGGACTGTAGATTGCATCTACTGGGCCCTGCATCACTTTCCGAATCTCCTCCCATAGATCCAGGTCCCACGGGCTGGGCGTCTGCTTCTCCAGTTCTGCCGCCATTTCCTGACGCTCAGCTTCGAGGTGAGGTGGGTGGGCGTTTTCCAGAGGGTTCCTAAGCACTGCTGCCATGGCTTGCAACCAGACTCGGGCTCTGCCGAAGCCAACAAAGCAGGTCGGCCATGATCTACACGCTGTCCAGCATGCTTTGAAATCGCTGGGCTTCCCACATCCATGACCTCATCAGCGGATTTGCCGCCACCGGAACCTGGGCTTGTATAATCGCAGAATACTCGCAAAATACGTGCACCCAAAAAGCAGCCTGTTGGTAGGACATCCGTGACAAGGTCATCCCGGGAAGGCACCAAGTCACCAAGTCACCAAGACACCAAGAGTCAAAGGTCCACCAAGGTCCACCACCAACAGAACACATCCAACATCATGCAAGCTTGGGTGGAGTGCTGGGCCTCAGGCTGCCAGAGCCTCCCGCGGCGTTGAGTGCCATGACGTCCGAAAGCATGGCCATGGACTCTGCCCTGAGCGGCAAAGGGGCTGCACAGTTCCGGGATCGGCAAGGCCAAAGCCCCAGACTCTGCGCAGGTGATCTCGCAGTTTTCGTGCAAGCCAAAGACCTGGCCGACTCTGACCGACTCTGCGTGCCTAGCAGCCTAGCACGCCTAGGCCTGAGCTACTCAGGAGCCTAGCACTCAAACCACAAGTGTGAGGAGTAAGTCTGAGTAAGCTCTTAGTGAAGCAGGAAGCTGCATCGAAGGATGCGGCCCGGCCTCGGGTGGCGTCATGTAGGGAAGACCGCGCAGATAGGCCAAGAACTCATCCTCGCAACAGGCTGCAAAAAAACATCTGGGAAAATATGCTCAGCTTTACAAGGCACATGGAGGGACTCTACCTGCCCTCTCTTTTCTGTCGGCTTTCCCCTTTCCTGTGAGGACGCATTGGGGCAGTAGAACAGTCCGCCCTGCGAGAACTTGTACTTCTCACCTGCGTGGCATCGGTCGTCTTTCTCACAACTATGTGGCTGCCGAAGTTAGCACTCTGCAGGCCTTTGACTACAACGTCCTCGCAGATGAAGATCTTGATCAGGCAATCAATCAGCACCTGGGTCAAGCAGAAGTCGCAGAATTGTTGCACTTGTCGCGAAAGGGCTTGCTTGCGGCCTTGTCCTTCTTGTCCGTGACGCGCCCACCGTAATTGATCCTGGAGCCCAGGAACTGCAGCACCTTGGGACCACAAATGACCACAATGACCGTACCAAATCAAGAGCTGGGGACTTGAGAGCAGCTCTGCTGCGCCGCGCTGCGAAGGTCCGCTGGCCCGAGCTCCTCCCTTTCAGCTCCCGGCCGTGTAGGGAATCTCATCGAACTTGTCGAGGAAGTACTTCAGCTGCCTCCGGTTCGTCGTCAGATCTTCAGGTGTGAAGTTGTACCTTCGGCATGCTGCGATGCACACGATGCAGTCCACGATGCTGTTTGGGGCAAGTATGCAGTATGCAGGCACTGTGCACCGTACACGCCGCCTGGATCTGGCGTTGCAAGCTTTCTCTCCGTCACTTTCTTCTCTTATTATTCTTCCTCCTCCTCTTCTTCTTCTGCTTATTCTTCCTATTTTTTCTTCTCCTCTTTCTTATTCTTCGGGGCTTGAAGATTGCAGGCAACCCCCGCTCACTAGGCGCACTTTCTTTCTTGCTTTCTTTATCTATTTTTGTTTGTCTTTCTTTCGTTATTTCTTTATTTGTTGGGGCTAGGGGAGGCCCCCCGCGTCAAGGCGCGCCCCGATCCCGCATCTCGAGGAACAATACAGCCTGCAAAACATGGCTGGTCTCTCTGTCTCTCTGTCTCTCTCACTCTCAGCAGGTCGGCGCACGGGATGTTCCAGCCAATGGGCCCGAACTTTCGTCTGTCCTGCCAGGCAACATAAAGTTGGAAGTGACGTGGAATGGCGGAACATGGCGGAACGGGCCAATGTAGTCCCATGATGTCGCGAGAGACACTAGAGGCAGCAAATCATAGGAAGCTGACAACCTTGAATAACAGCATGTGCACAAATGTGCACACCAGGTGGACTTGATAAGCAGGCGGTTGACAAGACTGTAATCTGTCGGGCGCGTCTGGGTGGACCATCAGCTTACCGCGTCCCAACCCCTCTCCACAGAGGGGAGCAAGGACCCTTAGCGACCCCCTTGGCACCCTCTTAGTGTAAAGACCCATAAAAACTTTTGAAAATTCTCCAACATGTCTGGCTTGTGTGGACCAGGGTCTTCGAGAAACTGTGTGCAAGAGCGGGCACATCCTTCAGCCCCGGCGTGAAGGTACACCTTAAGATCCCCTAGCGACCTCAAAGGGGACTCCAAAGGGCATTCAGCCTCGCGCATCCGAGAAACCCGCTCTCCGTGGAGCCGGGGCGCGTAGCGCTCATGTTACAACGCTGCTGCTTTCATTTCAGAAGCTTGCGTACTGAACGACTCGGAAATTGCAGCATCTTGGTTGCTATTGGCGTAGGGCCCTGAAACTGGCTTTCGGGGAGCTTTAATTCCAGGAATGTGGGCTTGCCGCTCACCACTCGAGTTTCAGAGCTGAGCATCTCCTTTGGGGTTGCGGGTGCTTCTGCTCCCGACTCTAGTTTTTGGTGGCCTGGCTTGGCTGATTTTGGATGGCTTCAGCTGCTGGGAGGGACAGGGCGGCAAGCCCCCTCCCCCCCGATCGAACACGCGCCTTCCGAATTCCTCACACAAACTCGGCCAATTTCTCGTGACAGTCTTGCAAGCATGAATGATGATGATGATGATGATGATGATTATGATCATGATGACGATGATGACGACGATGATGACGATGACGATGACGATGACGATGACGATGACGATGACGATGATGATGATGATGATGATGATGATGATTATGATGATGGATGCCCATGAGGGATTTGAAGGGATATCGGATTAAAGGAGGGAAGGGATTTGAAGGGATATCGGACAAAGGAGGACATGAAAACAACTTCGCAGAAACACGTGCAGTCGACCTAACATCGTCTGCGGCTGCTGTTGTAGTCATATAACTTGATGTTGTTTGTCTGCGCTTTCTTCTTTGGTAGGTGGTCTTCTCACATTGAGGCGACATGTGTCAAAAACTCATCCTTCGATGATGGCCCGCGTGCTTGGTCCTAAGGCTCTGGTGCGCCCCTTTCCCCCCTTCCGCCCTTGACCTTGCGCCGGCAAGCTCGTCGCGCTCCACGGCTTCTGGGTGTTCTCGAAGCGGTCTTAACTCTAAGGGCGACCAGATCCACCCTCTCCATGCTCAGAGGCTCGAGCTAAAGGTTGCAAAATACAAGCTGCCCGGGGCCTCGAAGTCCATCAGAGTTCTGTTGCTTGCTAAGTGTCAACTTTGCTTACTCACATCTTGTACACCTCGCACCTCGTTGGCCTGTGAAATGGTGACCAAAACACACAAGCAACATGAGCTACCGGCCCTGCCCCCAAATTTCCTGGCACACGGCGTGGAAGAAGCAGAAGCCGAAGACCAGGCGTGCATACGCTTCCGGCTTCTCGCAATCCGACAGCATCCGATCGTCGCACTTCATCATGGATCCGAGGACGTTGGCTCGTAGACCCTTTGGCGGCTCGTTGGTCATCTTGACCCCGTTCTGCAGGAGCAGGGCCGGGAACTGCTTAGTGGGCATCGAGGTCAGCCAGAGCCGGTAGTTGTTGTCCGTCTCCTCGGGGTTCATCTGCTCGCAGATGCGCTCCAGCTCCGGAAGCCAAGAGATGGACAGGTGGCAGTTGCAGAGCAGCACCCAGCCGCCTCCCTCCCGAGCCTTGTCGATCATCCGCGCGGCCTTGGGACCCTGTCCCTGTCCCAGAGAGATGCTCTCCAGCTTGGCGCCCATGCCGCTGGCTTCGGCGAAGGCCAACATGTCCGCAACAGGATCACTGCCGGCGGAGAGCACGAAGATCAGCGGGGACATCTTGGTGGAGTCCTGCAGGCGGCCCGCCAAGTCGAGTTTTCACATGTATGCACGCCCACATGGCCTACACACACGGAAGCGCAAGGTTTTCTTTGCCACGCAGTGCGACCTCGTACGATATGGCAATGTCGAAGACCGGGGGTTCCACGAACTTGGAGCCTTATGGATTTGGCAGCAGCGAAGCGAAGCTACGAGACCATGTTGGGCACGCTGGCACTGGGTGCGCGGCCCATCTCATGGGCTACGAAATCCAGCACGGAGGTCTGGACCCTGTCCGGCCTGCCAGCTGCTCAAAGTGGCAAGCAACAGCGAAGGGGCCTCGCTGGCACAGGTTTTGGCCAACAACGGTGGCACTCCACTCCTGATCGTTCGGAGGAAGCACAGCTTCTGGAAGGGCGTCATTCGGCCGCCCCACTCGCCCGGGACAGGCTCCTGAAGCGCTGAGCCACGGTAGACTTCTAGTACGACTTATATGACGTCCGGCTTGCGTGACTTACGTGGCATGGCTGCCAGACCAATTGCCACACCTAGTGACCTAGAACTGGTTCTGGCAATTTGTCATAGCAGGGTCGAGCCTGGTCTGCTTCCGGTGCATCGTAGATCCGCTGGAACCCCTTTACCTGACCCAGGGGGCAGTTCCGGAACTACATGCTCTTTGGATGCAAACATGCTTGAGAATCAGGGCCGTGGAAACAGAGGCCGCTGCGTTGGCAGCGAAGAAGCCATCGAATCCGGAGAAGGCTGGCAGCTGCGCAAGCGACAGGACCTGACGGCTTAACATGCTGGTCACAACTTGTCAGCTGGTCCTCAGAGAGCCCACCTCATTCCAGGACTTGGAGGTGAGCCACTTCTCGGCCGGGTTGGGAGGTCCGCCCTGCCGGAGAAACGGTAGATTGGGTGGGCCAGTGTAAACCGCAGACCTACCCGCAGACCTACCCGCAGCCCAAGCGGTGCCTTGACTTCGCCGGTGGGACCTGCCATCAGGAATCGGGCCTGCAGGCAAAGGAGGGGGGGTGGGGTCGGCTCAGGGTACCCCTGGGGTGCATAAAGGCTGGCAGAGAGGGGGTACGGTTTTCTTGATTGTTTTTTTGATAAACCGTCTCACGTTGGGTGGCCTCACTAAGTCGGTGATGCTAGGGTGAGCTTGCCAAAATATTCGCCAAGTAGAAACTTTGCCTAAAGACTCGCCACGTGCTCAAGAACCCCACAGATGCGCCGCGCTTCGCATTGCTTCGCACAGGACTCACAAAACTTGGGCATCCCTGCCACCGGCCCACGGGGCCTCGTTAGCATCCAGGCGACCCTCGCCATTCATGATCTTCATGGTCAGGCTGAAGGAGAAAAGAAGCCTCAGCGGCCCACGGCTCACTGGCAATGCTGCAAACATCTCCAGCCTCTGAGGCTCGTGACTTGTGCTTCTCGAAGAGCCCTCGGCAAACGCTCTGGTAGATGGAGTAGGTGAAGAAGCTGATCAAGTCTGGGCGAGCAGAAGTCTCAACAAGCTGCCGCAAAACGACAAACTGACGAGATGTATTTCTCACGTTTTCAGCGTGCTTGGGCTCTCACTTGCAAGTCGCTGCGTCCTGAGGTTAAACGAGACCACAGCATCAGGAAGCGTGTGGAAGCTGCCAGAGTTCTCATCTCTCCCGTGGTATAACGGTCTGCTGACAAAGTGCGGCGTCTCACCGGCCGGCGCGTTATCAATTCCAAGGCCGGCCAGCTGCTGAAACCACTGCAAGCTGAACTGGTACCTACCAGACCAGGCCAAGAGGTTGCTCTGGGCTACCCCTCAGGCCTGTGCATCAACTGCTGGCCAAGGCAGCCCAACCGCTGTACGTGCACAACTGCAGCAGCAGCCGTTGAGCAAACGGCCAATCCATGGAGGGGCACATGGGGTCGATGATGCTCATCTCGCTGACTGCGAAGAACAGCAGCTGAGCGCGGAACGCCTGGCATACCGGAAGGGGGAAAGGAATGGTGAAAGCTAGTCACGAATGCTGCGACCCTACTGAAGACCAAAACACTCACAAACAGGCATGGCCACGTAGTCCTTGTAGGACCTGCACAAGAGCTTGGAGGTCCAAGGAAAGGCTCCAGTCACCTAGGGGCCTCCTAGGGGTTTCTGAGTTTCCGAGTTGCCTTCGCACTTCGTCGATCTCCACCTCCGTGACCTTGGCCTCCTCCATGGCCTGAAGCGCGAAGCGCGAAGCGCGAAGGCGAAAGTACTTCAATAGTTTTTTTTCAAGTACTTCGCCTTCTTTCCATCTTTTCCATGAGCCATGCCATGCGCCCTTAAGCCACATCTTGCCCAGCCTTGTTGATGACCGCGGATGTCTTCTTGGAGTACTCTAGCGTGTCGATGAGTTCCTGGGCCACACGGCGAGTTCTTGTTGTGTCAAGAGTTCTCAACGAAAGAATCGAGTTGCTGTGGTTGCTGTGGTTGCTGTGGACTCAGCAGCACGCCTTGCTCTCCAGGATGTCGCCGTCTGCAGACAGCAGACGCAATATCTCATCTTCAATGTCCTGACAAGTGAGAATGTCATGGCTGGTGTCAATGCCTGAACTTCTGAACCCAAATGTGTACAGCAGTGTCGTCCTTCAGCTGCTTGTTCATCGCAGCTCCATTCTTTACGAGCTCCTGCCACGCCACGCAGCGTCGCAATCTAACAGCTTCGAGTTCAAGTGCTGTGGTAACATCAACATAAGGCGTAGTAGCGGTTTGTTGTTGCGGCATCCTGCTTCTTCTCTTCCATCTCCGGCTGCTCCTTGGCCACGACGATGCCCAACATCTGGTCCTCAAGTTGAGGCGTGTAACCGTGCCACCGTGCCACCGTGTCACCGTGTCACCGTGTCACCGTGTCACCGTGTCACGGTCTGGGTCCAGCATGGTCCATGTCCGGACCCCACACAATGTCCCTGGCCTTGCCTGAAGGCCCTCTGGAGTGATGGCGAAGTTGAGCAAGGTGACCTGGCAGGCTGGCAGCAGCTGGCAACGTGCCGTGGCCAACGCGACTCCGCGCAGAGAAAGTGCCCTGGGGCGGCCTTGACTGAAGTCTCCGGCGAGTAGTGAGGGTTTGCCAGTGTGGTGGTCATGAAAAAGCGGAACCTTCACAGCAACAACATCCCATCACAGGAATGCCCCGAACACTGCACGTGATCTGAACGGCTAGACTCAGTCAGATCAGATCAGGCCAGAACTTGTCATCGTAGGCAACCTGAAGCCAAAGCAAACATGAATAATCCTGTGCTGTACACTGATTTGCACAGGCGAATAACTTCCACAGCTATCAGGCAGCTGGTCGAATGAACTATCCTTGTCGAGTCATCATAATCCGTTTCCGTGTGGCCCACAGCTGCAGGCAAGAAGCGTTCTTGTCGCCGAGCTTGATGACGAAGGAAGTGCCATCCCGGATCTTTTGCTGCTGCAGAACCTGGGGGGGGGGATCCCAGGAAGGGGCGCCAATCGCAAAAATCGCGGAGCGGCAGGCCCTCTGGCCCACTGAGTTGTGCTAAGAGCCAGGCCGGCTCTAGAGCAGGGTCCAGTTGCTCGCCGATGTTTTCCAGCAGGATCCACTTTCCGAACTGGATGCCCAGCCTTATAGTAACGGCAACCTGGGGCCTTCAGCTCGGCACTGGAAGCTGAGCGACGCACTCAACCGTCTGCAGCAAATTGGGATCCGAGAGCTTGCAGGTGCCTTGGGGCGCATTGGCGGACACATCGGCTCTGACATACGCTGACTACTCCGGTAATCATGCTGACGCTGGTAATAATATCCCTCGATCCCCTGATGCGCAGAGTGCCAGGCCCATGCCCTGCTCACTGGCCACCTTTCCGTAAAGCTTGATGTACTTGTTGGCCTGCCGCTCGGAATGCTATTTCCCGCCCGCCCATCTTGAATTCTCCCTGCCTGCCGCTGGGGGTCGATCATCAATGGCCAACGCCTCCAATGATGAGCGGGTTTGTTCATTGGAAGCTTGTTAGGAGCTGAGGATCTTGAGGACCCTGGGAGTTGAGGACTTATGACTTTGGGAGTTTGCGGAGCTGGCGAATGATTGAAATTTTGAGTTGAGGAGTTTGTATTATCAATCCAGGCATGTTGCCTCGAGTGTTGTCTCCGGACTGCTGTATGCTGGTCTCGATCTTAGCCCATGGCCGACTCCATCATTTACCCGGCAAAACATCCGGGTGGGGATTGTGGCTTATTATACCCCTCCTCCGAAAGCAGAGCTTCATATGGCATTGTCTCATGCCAGACTTCTTCTGCAGCCACTCGTCTTGGTCGGCGATTGTCCAGAATGCGACAGCGCAAGATGCATGCCGATCACAAGCCTGCTCGATGGCACACTAAGCACGAACAGCAGCGGGGCCACGGGTGGCTCAGGTTCGGGTTCGCTCGGCATGTCCCCTGTTCCCTGTGCCAAGGAGCACGGAATCGCGCAGGAGGCGGACGATGCCCATGCTTGCCGGCATCTAGCTCGACAGCTCCGATTTGGGGAAGAGATTCTTCCACATTGCACAGGGTGCGACCCAGCACTGATGCCGGAGCCTCAAACTTGGGCACTGCTGTCCGTTGAACAGTTGAATGCCGGCTTTCGTGAGACTGTCATTGCATGCAGCGGCCTCGACAAAAGCTCCAACATTGGCCCATTCTATCCCACTTTGGCAATGACAAGTTTCAGGGATTGCCGTTTTGAGGCCCTTTACGGCCAAGCTCCATGCCCCCAGCAGTCGTAGCTTTCCTTTGGATATGCATTACTTGCATTTCTGGTCGCGGATGTGGGGCACGTTTTCATTGGGCGCTGGAACCCAGCTTTTCCTGCTTATTTACTTTCTAGGTGAGTGCACAAACCGCAAGTCTTTCCCCGAGCTGCTGCGCTGGAACAGGAACAGGAACTCAAGCCACCACCCCCCCGAACGGTCACTGGATGATACAGCACGCTGCTACACGCCGTGCTGTGCCACACTACGGGGTGCTGTTTGAGCCGAGCAAGCGCTGCAAAGTTCCTAAGGATGATGGAGCTTTGGGTTGGGGGGTTCCTCTCATCGTGAATGCCTACAGCTAGCAAACAGCAAGGCTAAAGGAGGCTGATTAGCGAAGTATGGCCACAAGAAATCATCAGAAGCCTTCACCCAACCAAGGGAACGCTCTGCATTCTACTGCAAAAGGCTCCAGTCACGGGCACCCTGGATGGGGCCTCGCAGTAGCGATGATGATGCCGTTCTCAACAGACAGGTTGTCGTTGGGAAGACCGCACACTGCCCACTGCTGGATCACGACCTGGCAAACCCACATTATTTCGACGACCTCAAACGCAACAGCTCCAGGATTCCCGGCTGGTTGGCCAAGGACGTTGACGAGGCTGGCCCCGGCTTTGTGGGTGATACCCTCCTCATCCTGTGCACTCGGCACCGAGAATCATAGTGCCGGCGTGGGTTTCAACCCCCATGATTCCATGATCCTTATAAACCGCAGTCCTCCGTGCTCAACCACAGCTTCTCGAAGTGCTGGCGATGCTCTCCGGCAAAGGGGCCAGCATACCCTACCATTCCTGCACAAGTGAGAATGATGCGAAGCTTGCCCATCGCCTTCTGACCGAAAGTTGGAAATGAAAAAATTCGCCTGCAGCAATGAGGGAGTCCCCAGGCAGGAGGTCGTACTCTCTTGTCAGGGAGTCGACCTCAGAGGATCACCGACAACACGCCGAATCGACCTAGCAACAAACAACTTGCTGCGCAGATCCATATGTCGATCCAATCTGAAGCCACTGCGGTTGCTGACCATCGATCCTTTTCTCCTCCCAGGCCGTCAATGAGCTTGTTGGCATTTGCCAACCTTGGTGCGCTTTGCTTGCGCATTCTCCGATGCTCACGATGGCTCCATACTGTTTACGCATGAGGTTTTCGCATGTAGCGTCAAGTGTCCACAAGTGCCAAGGCAGTGTCTGCGCTATCAAGCGCCCGCAGTGCGAACTAGGGGCTTGATGACGCACATCTCCATTTCGTGCGCAAGCTGGTCCTGCAGCACAAACGGAGCACCACAGAAACGCAAAGGGCTGCAGGAACACCACATTGCACTACATGACCCGAGCAGTCAAATCCTGCTTTGCCACAGCCGCATTATAGTCGGCTTCCAGCTGCGCCAGCTTGTCTTCCACTGCCTCGAACACATGTTTGGAATAGCATCTTCTAGAGACGACCCAAGGGTAGTCAACTGTGCCTTCAGCTCGGCTTGGGCATTGCGGAGCTTCGTCATGGTGATCTGGCGCAGTGTAGTCAGAAACACAGACACTGCCAGGGCCTACAAGTAGAACCTTTGATGAGAAGCTCAGGTACTGTATGCGGCCATGCCCGGCCACTGCATTCTGCTCAACGCACACATCACCAGCCCTACCCTAAAGCCTCCAAGCTAGCTTCAGCATCTGCCAGCATCCTGGGCTCAGGTTCGGTATGACTTGGCATGATATCAGCATCACTTTCATGGCTCCCGCATGCCATCGGCTATGCATTTGGCTACCATGCTGCCCAGCCTGCGTTTGGGCTCGACAGCCTTTGCCACAAAGTGGTACTTGTGCATTGCCCGCGTCCTTGCATTGCCATGACATGGGCATTGCGAGAGGTCGACACGGGAGAACCTGAGGGTTTAGCCACATGCACAAAGCTTCACAGGCCACCGAAGACTTCTTGATCGCAGCAGGGTCGAAATCCTGGCGACTTTGAAGCATGTTGCAACTGCGCTGCAATCGCAACATATTTGGTGGGGAAGTTTCTCTCACACTTGCCTCCCGGTCGACATACTCCCCGATCTTCTTGATGACGGGCTCTGCAATGTTGTCCTGTCGCGACTTTAACTGCAGAACTTATGCCGATGGCACTCCATCCCTCATCCCGACAGCTTCTGATACCTTGTCAAACTCAAAGAGGTCGTCCAACAGCTTCTTTGGGTCGCTCAAGGGCCCTTTTTGCGAAGCCTGGCACGGAGAAGCGCGGAAGTGCACAAAGAAAACGCATCTTCTGCATCCGCCGACTCAAAGAGATGCTCCCAGCACTGCTTGCCAGCAAAGATGCTGCCAGCAAAGATGCTGCCAGCAAAGATGCTGCCAGCAAAGATGCTGCCGCAAGAAAGCCGCGGCCTCCCAGTAGTCATCAATCTTCTTGCCCGGCTGGTTGGGGTCATTCTTCTTGATCGGCCTTTGCACACTTTGCGGCTGCGTCATTACAGCATACTACAGCACTGCGTGTGCACACTCTGAGCTGCTGGCTTGACCTGAAACATCACGCAGACGGCCTGTCATCACGAAAAGGTCCGCGGCAAACCGCCAGCTCTTGCGCTACTTGCGAGACCTCCAGGGTCAGGCGCACGCCGTCCGGAGGCTTGCCCAAAGCCTTGATCTCCTTCGTGTGCAAACTTACAACTGGCCGGGCATGTCCAATTTCGGGCCTTCGAATGCATGCACCTCGTCACATCTTCGCGACTGGTCAAAACCAGTGCCATCACAGCCCGGAAGCTTGCAGCAAAGGATTCGTACTTCAGATAATAACAGTAGCCCTTGAAAAGCCCTCAAAAGCCACTCAAGCGACCATGGGTCCTGCAGGCTAGAGAGCTTTAAGGCTTTCAGAGCCTTTTCGGCCACGTTCAGTGCGGGCCTCAGCACAGGGCAGAGCAGGGTGGAGCAGGGCGGAGCATGGCGGAGCACGGCGGAGCAGGGCGGGGCATGGCAGAGCATGGCGGAGTGGCAAGCGCCCTTAGACCCTAAGATTTGCGCGCCCGCATGCACACATGATCAATCATTCTCAGTATCATGCTCATATGCACACATGCTACAGAGAGGTCTCCCTGGCCTCGTGAGGTCATGTCAGCTCTGGGCCCCAGGCAGTGCCTCGTTCAAGTCTTTCTCCGCATCCTCCTTGATGGCCGTTGCTTTGGCTGCCTGTTCCTGCGCTTCCGTCTCCACAACCTGGCACTGCTCTTTGGTCACCGCCGCCTGGCCAGATTTTAAGGACGTCAGAAGAAAGTCAGAAGAAAACAATGACCATCGCTGCAAGATTCTGGATGGTCGCGAGTAGCCTTGGCTTTGTCTTCAGTGATGACGACCATCATCTCTGCCACCTAGGACGGGTGCTGGATGGTGCTGGTCTGCGGACACAGCCCGATTGCCTGACCGCCCAAACCGGCCTTCACCTTCGTCTCTTCAAGCACGGGCTGCTTGGCCTCCAGCCTCGCAATGGACGGCTTCGGTCAAAATTCAAAAGCACTCTAGCCACCACTGGCGGCTTCTTCCGCGTTGGGGGGCTGGCTCGGACTGCATGTTGGCCACCGCATATGCTGCCGCTCCGAGGGCATCCAAGCCCTTCTGCAATCGGTTCTTCAGGGTCCCGACGGCGTCCTCACGAAGAACTTCCACTGAGCAACACAACTCAGAAATCATCCTCAACATCGCTCAACTCTTCCACTGTGGGGTCCCGCCGCATGGCCAGCACCTGGCACAGTGTGCCCGCATGATGGGGATCCCTCGCGGTCACTCATGTCGACTATCCTCAGCTTAGCCCTAGCCCTCTAGCCCCCTAGCCCCCCTAGCCCCCCTAGCCCCCCTAGCCCCCCTAGCCCCCCTAGCCTTCTTGAAGGAGGCGATCAGCTCCAGGTAAGATGTGGGAGTGATGTAAATGGCACGCCTGTTGGGGGCCCCCAGAGTTCCGGACGAGAACTCTTCACCAAAAGCAATGGAACTTTTGCCGGCACTTCTCTCAGCATTCTTGTCAGAGCCCTGCCTGGCCGTTTCCATGGTCTTCTTGGCAGCCTGCTCCACAGACTGGTGTACCACCGAGAAGGCCTTGAGGACGCCTCTGCGGGCAGAACACTTCTAAGCAGGTCTCGGGTCCCATTCCGTGTCTCACTCCATGCTCTCTCCCCGTGCTCTCACTGCATCTTTCACGGTGCTGTCTTTGACAGCTCGCGCCTTCCAAGTTTGGCAGTTGCAGGTCCTCCAGAAACCAAACCACGCAGTCCCTCATGAGACAAGGGTAGGCGGTCCTCCAGCGTCATCTGCTGCTTGCCCACGCTGTACAGCGCCTCTGCTGCAAGTTGTACCAGGCCCCCACACGGGCATAGAGTTCCTCGCCTCTGCCGGCCACTCTGCGAACCAGTCGATGGTGCAGCAGTTCACCAACGACGGGAACATGCGGAGTCCTGTGGAGTTTGGTCTGGTTATGTTCGCCCCTTTGGGCACCAGATGTCTTGTTGCGACAGGTTGCGACAGGCTAATATAATGCTGGGCTCTCATCTTGCAACCAACCTAGCGGCCCTAGCGATTCTGGCCTATCATGTCTCACGCCTCTTGGCATCTTCACCTACCAACCATGCAACCGACCGAGGCATGGGCGGGTTCGAAAGGCGTCGCCGACAGGTGAGAACGCCAAGACCACGTGCACATTTGCCTTGCCACACGAGACTGCACGAGCCCACATGTGCAAGAACACAAGTTAACAAAATCAAATCTCCGTGCATTTTGGATGCACATTGTCAGGCTCCAATGGGAAGAGCTCAACATGGAACTTGGACAAATCGAGTTCTGCCCCGTATTGCCCCGTGCTACCCTGACTGCCCCCATGCCCTTCGAGGGTCGAAAGGGAAGACTCGGAGATCAAGGAGGCAGAGTACCAAGATGCAACACAAGGTGTAGCAGGCACCAAGTACCAAACCATCTGAGTCCAGAGGGAGACAAGAGCCCGAAGCCCGGAGCGCACCTTCACACGCCCGAGATAAGTGCTGAAGACGTTTGCTTTGGTTGGCGGGATGCCAGCCTGTCAAAGCCATGGGCATGAGGTTGAAACCCAGGTCCAACGTAACTGACGAATCCTAGTCAAGCCGTAGAGTCTGAAAGCCAGAACTTGCAAGCTGCACTGCTGGGCCTGCTGGCACGCAGCCCGGCAGGCTTGCATGATGGAATCCATGTCCTGCCAGCTCAGAATTCACGAGCCACAATCTCTGTGAGGCGAGCACAGGCCTCGTGGCTCAGAGACCCCGTGGCACTGGCCCCACACTTTCGCACCAGCTCGCCCTGCTAACCCCGGCTAATCCCACCTCATTCTTGTACAAGTTGGGAACATCTCCGCTGTTGAGAACGTTGTTGATCGCCTCTACCATCTGCTCGTTCACGATCTGCGTGTCGGCAAAGAGGAAGGTTGTAGGTTTCTGCTCATTACCACACTTCATTAAGCAGGTCTTGAGGTCTTCTTTGAACTCCGTCATTCCGTAGCCCTTTACGACATCGATCTGGAAGATGTCGTACTCTGACATAAAGCTGGCAAGACGTGAGAGGGACTGCCGGCCCGACCCTCCGACGCCCAACAGCAGAGCATTGCCGTTCGGCTGCCGCAGGACACGGCAGACCCGGGCCACATGCTCGCAAGCATCTGCAAACATGACAAGCGGCATGGGGACGGAAAACATGTTGTTGTAGTCATCCAGGAAGCCCTCCATGGTGACCTTCATGGCATTCATGCTCTCCACCTCAAGGTAGAAGCGGTCCCCGCTCTGGTTCATGAAGTCAGCGAAGACCAGGCGGTCTTTGTCGAAGATCTGGACCGGGCTAACGCCGAATTTGTCATTGAGGTGACCCTCCAGCTTGCCCTGGAGCCATGCGCGATCCTCAGGTGTCGTCAGCCGGTCCCCGTACACCCGCACATTCTCATGGCAGAAGCAGCGAATCACCACCTGGGGGTCCGAGACCTTCTTGGACTTCATGGAGCAAATGCCCTGGAAGACCTTCCAGATGTCTCGCAGGTTGAAGGTGTAGTGGCTCTTGGAGGGCGTCGGCAAGAGGTCCGTGCCGGCCGCTTCGAAGATGTCGATAGAGCAGTTCACGATGTTGTCCTGGGCCGACGGGAAGCATACAAGGCCACATCTCACAAAGCCCAACCCTGAACCCAAGCTTCCCGGCCTTTAGGTCTATGATGGACCGCTCGAAGCCCTGCAAATGGGAGAGCTGGCTTTGCAAGCTTCACGTAATATGCTACACTTCAACTGCTTCAAGCTCGTTCAAGCTCCCACGCTGCTATTTGCCAGGGAGGCCTGCTGCAGGAAGTAGTCCAGGATGGTTGAAAAGATAGCGAAGATGGAATCCCGGGACATGTCAGCTGCAACGACCGCGTTGTAATGCCTGAACCAGCACCCCTCATCACAACGGCTCTCTGCACAAATGCGCTTGAAGCTGAATCAGATCGCACTGCAGTTCACACAGCTCTGGCAGACTTTGGCACCTCTTGAGGCGCCCTGAGATCTCGGTTCGGCCACCACCCGGAGGTCCCATGGCCGTTGCATGGACGATGTCCTCAGTCGCTAGTCACGCTAGTCACTGGCGCTGCCCCTGCGATCCCCGCATTCCCCTCCCCCGGCTCAGGCTCACAGCCGAGGTCCCAAGGTTCGGGCAATAATCTCCTGCATTTTCAGCTCCTGAGACCGAGCACAGCCCACGACGCTTTTGCTCGGCTGCCGGCGCCCTGCCGGCCCTGCCGGCCCTGCCGGCCCCCTGCCGGCCCTGCCGGCCCGGCGGTCCTTGCGGTTGTACCAGCCGTTGTAGTCCATCCACTGCCGAATGAGCTCGATCGGTGGCTGGGCTCCATAGTACTCCTGACAAGGCCCCGCTCCAAGGTCATGCCACGGCGACCTAATGGGCCGAATACTTCACAGCCATTCCCGTGTTGCACCGGCCTTCTTGGGCATGTTCAGGTCGTCAATGAAAATCACATTCTTCTTGCCAGCTGGAGGACCTGGAGTTTGAGAAACATCACAAGGGGCGTGGGGGCCTCGAAGAAAAAAGTTTTTGAGACAAATGTGGCATTAGCCGGCTTCAGCCGGCATCTAACAAAAATAAGCAAAAGTATTTTCCTTCGAACATCCCCACCCTCTCTTTTGTAGAGATACTCTGGGGTTGGGCACTCCAACAACAACACTCTGGGGCTGGGCACTCTGGGGACAATCTGGGGTTGGGCACTCGAGGGAGACTGTGGGGTTGGGCACTCCAGGGAGACTCTGGGGCTGGGCACGCCGGGGGCAATCTGGGGGGGGGCACTCTAGGCAAATGAGACTCTGGACTCTGGGGGAGACTCTGGGGTTGGGCACCCTGGGGAGACTCCATGGACACTCTAGAGTTGGGCACTCCAGGGACACTTCGGGGTTGGGCACTCCAGGGATGGGCGAGGAGTAGACCGGGCGAGGAGAAGAGTTCCGGGCGAGGAGGAGAGTTGAGTTTTTAAAATCTAACAACCCCACACCGAGGGTGGTGAAAGAAAAGAGAGACAGACACACACCCAAAGAGAACACACCAAGCATCTCACCATAGACACCACGTCGTCTCTTCTCGAACTTGGAGTCTAAGAGATCCTGCGCAGTGCTGGCCGGTTCCAGAAGAATCCTGAAACTCTGTGCGCGCGTTCGAGGTCCTGCAGCTGGTTGACATGCGTCTGAGCCTGGGCCGCCACGTCTGACCCGCCGAAACAAGGGCAAGTACCGCAAGTGCCTTCGGGTGAAGCACCTACCGAATAGGCCCCAGCTGAGAAGTTGATGAAGATCGGCGTGATGGTCTCGGGCGCATCCTTCTGAAGCCAGAGCCTCAGGACGTAACATGCAGCAATTTTGCACGGCAAACAAGCCATGTGGAAGAGTCACTGGGGACCCAAGTCCCTGTCGACAGGTAAACGGATTTGCCCGTCCCGGTCTGGCCAGCCACGATGACGTGCTTGTCCTGGCAAACTGACACATTAGTCCCACATCGGAAAGCCTTCAAACTGGATTCAAAACTCCTTTGCTAGCGGCGCTATGACTTGAGCCACCAACACATACAGCAGCACTCTGTACGCACTTCTGGAACCTTTAGAGTTGCGTTTGTCGGATTCAGCTTTCATTCTCAGATGGGTGCAAACGGGGTTCGGGAGGGGTTCTGAGGGCTTTTGGACTCTTGGAGCGCACCGCATTGCACAGAGCAGTCCTTCAGAAGAAGGGTGGAGAAGGTGTGCGTGAGGCGGATGGAGTCGACGGTTGGCCTGATAAATGTGTATTGCGGTGCATCCCACCGGCAGAAAGAGCCCAACGCAAGCCGAAACCCAACACGACAATGCATAAGCTGCCGACACCACAATGTTCTGGTACTCTGAGCCTGATGCTCGTTCCAGGACGACTAAGCCTCCATAGGCCTCCCATATTGAAGTGGCCGAGTCCCGAGCGAGGTGGCACTGTGTAGTTTGGTGCCTGAGCCAAAAGTGCGTAGCAGCACAAGAAAAGCTTTGTATAGAAACTCTGAGTGCAGCGACGAACGTCAGCCACGGCGTCCACTGGCCTTCACGTTCGCCCTGGCATTGAAAGAAAACCCCAGCGAATTATGAGATGAAACCACTTCTTGCACCAACACGCCACCTCCATCTCGTAGATGTAGTCATACCTGGCAGTTTCCGGATCGCAGTCCCCAAATTCCAAGCAAAAGCACATGTCGGAAGCAGCCAGTTCATTCCAAGCTGCCAGAACTTGGAGCTGTCCAGAGTGCCCCCCACCTGCGTGGCTGCTTGGCGGCTGCTGCCCAGCCAAGAGCCATGGATGGGGGTGGGTAACCGGGTAACCTATCAAGAGTACACAAACATCGATCTCGCAAAAATTAGCAACGAATATTCACAGTCTATCAATCGTTTGGCCATGCCTGAAGGCTCCTTTTTCCACCCCCGACCGGCTTCATGCTTCAGGGGCTCTGTCAAGGGCCTCTCTCTCTGCTTGCGTCATATCTGCCAGAACAACCTCAACCGAAGGGAGCAATTTCCCGTCTGCGGTCGGGCCGTCGAAAAAACAAACAACATCTGGAGGCTTATGGGCCAGGGTGTGCCTGAAAGAGTCGAACCCATTGTGTGTTCTGAACCGAGTCCGGTTTGTGCAGCTTGCAGCCTCCTTGCGAGGAAGCCATTTGCGGGGAGGGAGAAAACAAGGAATCCGATTGGGTAATTGGCTGCCTCTTCTTGCCAAATTGGCTATCCTTTGTTTGCACCAAGTTTGAACGACGGATTTTGGGCATGAAACACTAACCCTTCAATGACGAGATTCCAAAGCAGTCACCAAGTATCTCACTTTGTCCGGGTTCCTGGACAAACTCCCGCTCTCTGGTCTGAAAATGTGTTTTGCCAAAAGTAGTCGCTCAGCTTCCCAAACAAGCGTCCACTGAGAGATATATATATATACATAGAGATATATATATATACATATATACAAGTGCTGAGTTGTTTCATCCCTTTTGGGCATTCCCTTTAAAGGCGGGGTGAGGGGCGGGGCGGGGGCACCCGTTCATCCTCCGACACCCGACCTCGCAAACGACAGCGTGCCCCAGAAACCTCCAAGTGCATGGTACCCCCCCCCCCCCCAGTTATCCACACTTGTTGTGCTGATGTTGCGTATTCTGTTGCATTCCCTGATGGCACGGCGTTTTTTTGGGTAGCGTTTTTCGTCTCAGCGTGTTGATGTATGTGTATATATATATATCTCTCTGTTATACGATCTATATGTTTATCTCATACCAGTATCCACCGGTACAAACCGGTACAAATCGGTACAAGTTGTACCGGCTCCATAGAACCAAGAACAAAGAACCAAGATTGCGGGGAGGTCTTGCCCTTCAATTTCGGTTCTTAGTTCTTGGTTGAACCAGGAACCAAGATTGCAGGGTAAGACCTCGCTGCAATTTTGGTTCTTGGTTCCATGTGGCCTGTACAACTTGTACCGGTTTGTGCCGGTTTGTGCCGGCCCGTGTGTTTCGATAATCTTAAGATTTTTAAGGATAGTAAGGATTTGAAAGATCTTTATGCATTAAATAGGCCGAGCCTTTCCCCAACCTAGTTTAATGTTTTCAAAAAGGAATTTAAACGGCCACTTAAAATCCTTAAAAACCTTGAAATCCTTAAATTTTGAAAGCCAGAGGCCTTTCAACAGTTTAAGGATGTTAAAGGTTTTGTAAAAATTTAAATGGGCCGGGCCTTTCACCAAACTATTCAAATTCTTCAAAACATTAAGGAACTTAAGGATTCTAAAAATTTAAATGGGCCGGGCCTTTCCCCGAAATAGCTTGTTTCAACAATTTGAGTATGGTAAAGATTTTAAGACAATCTTTACACTCCTGAAAACGTTTAAAAATTTAAAGGATTTTGAGGATTTGAATATGGCCTATAAGGTTTATAAACCTTAGAAAGCTAACCCCGTGAGGGTTTTAGAGATAAACCTTGAAAAACCTAAACCTTTAAACCCTATACATGGTGTGGTAGTTATTCTGCTTTTTCCTTGCATTTCCACAGGAGGCAAGCCCTAAAACAGAGGCATGACCCTATGGGATTTAAGGTTGAGGGACTCAAGCCTCAAGCCCTATAGGGTTACAAGGTTCTAATCCTAGAGGTAATGCATAAACCTTAAATCCTAAACCTTTGAACCCTATAGGCCTATAGGGTTTTAACTCTTTAGGGCTAACCCCGTGAGGGTTTTAGCGATAAACCTTGAAAAAACCCTTAACCTTTAAACTTATGGGCATTAAATGTTTAAACACCGAAGGTCTGGGCATGTATGCCTTCAGCACCGATCGGGTTACAACTTTTGAGCCGAGCCCTTTAGGCTTTCAGGGTTCTTTAGCGTTTAGGTTTAAATGCCTAGACCGTAATCCCTTCAGGTTTAAACTCCATGGGCTTAGGTGGAAATGCCTAAATCTTAATATTTAAACCTTAACCGTTTAAAGGTTGAGGGTTTAGGTGTAATTTCTCAGCCTTGAAACCCTATAGGGTTTCAAGGTTTAGGTTTCAGATTGAACCCGGCCCTAAACCCTATAGGGTGAAAGCCCTATAAACCCTATTGGGTTTCGGGGCCTCTCTTTAATAAGCCCCAAAAACCAGGGAGCGCAGCGGAGCTGAAGGGAGCGGAGGGGAGGAGGTCGTTGTGCCCAGTGTTTGGATAGATGGAAAGGACTCAACATCTCAAGGTTTGCGTACATTTATGTTCTGTAGGGGACTAGGATGATTAGGTATTTTTCGTGCGGGTGTTATTTTGTTGCTGCTCTCATGCTGGGGGTGGGGGGTTCATGGGTCACCGCGGCCTGTGAAACGATCTAATTGGCTCGCAACCACAAAAAGCCTGGATAACCACGGAAAAACATAGATAACCCGGGGGGAGAGTAGCAAATATACAGTGCAATTCCCTGAACCCTGATATGCCTAAACCTTCAACCCTCAAAGAAGACAATGCATTCCTAAACCTCGAAATGCCCATGGAAGGAACCCATGAGGCAGATATGTTATATGTTGGCCAGCGGGTACAGCAGTGCCCGAAACGCTGAACCCCAATTTGCACACAGTCGCGCAAAAGCCTTCAACCCAGAACCCCAAACCCAAAAACCGACCACCCAGAATAGCGCATGAGGCCTTGAAACCTAAGCCATCGTAAAAGGCCCTAAACCAACAAAACACCACCACAGTGCAAAGCCCGAAGCCACTCCAAGCCCTACCCAGAAACCCAAGACTGCAAACCCTGAACCCCACAAACCCAAACACCAAAGCAGCGCAAGCCCACCAATTTGTATCAACAGAAGCCCGTTCTAAATGTCAGCCACAGCCACACTAGAACAAAAGAGGCAAGCTGCTTCACACCACTTTAAGTAACACAGCGGCCCGCACATGGCGACCCAGTCATATTTTGTAGGAAGCGCAGAGCAGATAGCAACAGCACTGCTTTTGATTCTATATCTTTCGTCTTGTTCCGTGCGGGAAAAAAACGAAACCTGGGCAGGACATGCTGTGTCACCAGCTTGACTCAAGCTAAATGATTCCCCCCCTCTCAGGATGCTCCCTTAACAAAAACAAAAGCACGAAACCCTTCAACCAGCCCCAGGCGCTTGCGGTGATCCAAAGTGGCTTTGGGGTGCCCTTCCCCGCCTGGACGCCGGACTCCTTCACCAGTTCCCACAGCCGGTCCTCGGCGTTGAGTCGCTGCCGGCAATGGATCAAAAGGCTTCAAGAGGTTAGGTAGGGCAGTCAGGTGTCGTTCACAATCTGACGGCCCTTGTTGTCGCAGGTGGCGCCTTGGACATCCAAAGTGGCAAAACTTGGTACTTCTAAGGCAAGCGTTTGGAGCCCCAGGCCAACTGACCAAACCAACGTGAAGAAGTAGAGGGGAACGAGATGAGACCTTGCATTCGTAGCCAGACTTTGCATGGGCTGCAGAAGAAAAAAAACAAACAGGTGAAAAATCGGCTTCGGCTTGGCGCCGCACTGAAGCTTGTTGATTTCATCTGCACTGGGCGTCTTGGCTTCAGTGGGGATGTATGGGTAGAAGTAGCAATCCATCAGCCTGCAGTCACAACAAGGCCCCTGACAAGCCAGCAACACTCCCGACGCAAGCTGGCCTGAAGTGTGACTGGCAGAGGTTGTTGTCTACGGTCATCGAGGGCTCCTGCGAGGGGGAGGGTCAAGTGAGAGGCGGCTTCGAAAAAGAACTGGGGGTATAATCGGCCTTTGATGAGGGTATTTGACGTTGGGGAACAGAGTTGCTGATACACATATCCACCCAACTTCCAACTTCATCTCCCACATGCCGTTCGAACCTTTGTGAGCTTCCGGACGGTGCGGATCATCGGCAGGGTGTAGGCCTGGGCTTCCCCAAGAGCTGTCTCCATAGTATATCGGCTGGAAACTCAGGAAGTGCATTTTCCACACCCCGTAGAAAAGGGGCACCGGGGCGTCAGGCCAGCATCAGCTCCTTCAGCTTGTCCACCATCTCCTGGGACCCAAGAGAACCCAAATCAGCACACTCAAACGCACACTCAAACGAATCAGGAGCCAGGTGCGACCACTGCGATGCGCTACGATATGCTCTGCGTCCTGTTTGAAGGTGCTGGGCAGCCTTTCCACCCAGGACCTCGATGTGTGAGACACCCAGGCGAAGCGGCTAGGTCACCGCATGTCTCGGACTCTTCGAAGCAGTAGGCATCAGGCTGAACCAAAGGCTCATTGCCCAAGGCCGATGGCTCCATGTAGACCTGAGCTCGAGCTCCGTACGCAATGGAGCCTTCAAGACACTGCGCCACAAGGGCCACACCATGCCGCACCGGCTGACCGTGGCAGGAGAGGCAACAGACAGGTCCTCCACCTCGAACACCATCCTGCAAAACCGAGGCAGATGAAACGAAATGAAGCGTGGATGAGAGCACCACTCATCAAAGCCAAGGACAACAAACATGTGACGTGACCATTTGAAAACATACGAGTACCACTGGTGCAGCCTCATCTGCGGGGTCAAGGAGATGATCTCTCCCGATGTCAAACATAGCTTCTTGTTGTCGTCCAAGACCGTGTTCATCGACCTCACTGTTGACTGTATTTCTCAAAACATCCCAAAACCTCGAGATGGAACTGCGGGGAGACAAGTGAGCAGCTGACTCGATCCACAAAGCGTCTACGGGGCCGTCGAAGATCACCTGAACCAACTCTCGGCATGGTTGGGCTCGTGGGATGACTACGTTCCAGGCATCACCGAAGACATCACGGGCTCTGGACCCAGTGGTTGTCAGGACTTCCCGACTTGCCACTCGCCACGGCTGTGCGGACCTTGCCGAAAGCGAGGTTAACTTGCGCAAGAACAGAAGACCATGCTGTGTCATGCTGCCTTTCCTGGCTTGGCGCTGGACGCACTCACTAGCCACCCCGTCCGACCACTCGCGGGTGACCTCGTCGAAGGCTCCATAGAGCTGCGCCTGGCACCAGAAGGCTGACAGGCATGCGCTGCGAATTGGACTCCGAGACAGAGACCACTGGCACCTTTTCATCACATGATGTGTGTTTCAGCTGATTCTCAAAACTCCCTGGTCACATCGATGAGGCATGCCACAGCAGTGTATATACCGATGTCTTGGCACACACACACAATGACAAGGCGACGTTGAAAACTTCAGCCAAGAATTGTCGCAACTCCGGCTCGAAGTGCCGGTGTTTGCAGCGCCCATGGATGAGCTTGTGCTTGTCGCCCGGGGGCCGATTCATGCCGATGCAGCGCAGGCACGCTTCCTTTAGCTTTAGGGTCTGCCCCTACAAGTGCTTTGCAAATTCTGACTCCGCCATCGACCAGGAGGCCCTCGTCCGATAACTCACGAGCATGCACCCTGGATGCTTGCGTGGAACCTTCTTCGAGTTGAAAAGCAAAAACGAAGGCTGCTAGTCTTAAGACAGCTGCAGCGACACATTCTCTTACGTCTGGCGATCACAACTAGCATCACCGCACCACCCCGACAGTTTGCATCCCGATGCCTGCGTGATGGCTTTGGGGTTGAGGATGTGCGTCTGCACCTTCTGATACTTCGCGTCGCCGGCCTGCTACCCGGTTGCATGAGGCTGCTGGACTCCAGCTATTCTGAACATTGCTTCAGGCCATCAGTACATGTCGACCCAGCCTCACACATTGCAATTGAAGTGGCTTGCAGCAAGCGGTAGTTGCAAGTCTTTCCACCTGGCCACACAAAGCTGGTGCCAGGTTCGCACATGAAGATGTTCGGCTCGAAATGCCTCCTGTAGGACCGACAAGCATGAGGCCGTGTCGCACCCCGATGGTGTCGATGAGCTGCACCACCTGCACAGGGTCACATCATGCAAAGGCCAGAACATGCCGGAACCCTGAATCGACACTTAGAACTCAGCCCTCTCTGTTACAGGTGCGGGCGACGAACAGGACCTTGACTACGAAATTGTCGGTGAGCTGCAGATTCTGCTCCTGCATCCGGAACAAGGATGACACTGGTAGAGGTAGAGGGGAACGGCCGAAGCAAGGCCGTGCAAAACAACCATCAAACATTTGCAAAAGGAAGAAAAGAACAAGATGCCTTGCCGCACGCTTCCATGACGGGCGTCAGGTTGCCGTACTCCACCACCGGCCTCTCTGTGGTTGGAAAGAGGTCGGAGATGATGTTCCTGATGGTGCCGCTCTGTGAACGTCGGCCGCATTGGTCTTGCTAGTCACTGAGCCGCTGGCTCGAACAGGGGCAAGTCATCCTGCAAAGTGCAGAACAGCAACATTTCTCACAACGCCAGGCAGATTTTTAGGGCCGTTTGTAGGTGGGCCGTTTCAATTCTGAAGCATAACATACAGCCGGTGAATGCGGGTGGCACCACTCGGTGGTGGATTGTCCTTCAGGAACTTCGGCACGTTGACGTCCCGCAGCGCGCGAAGCGTGATTTGGTCTTCGGGCAGCTGGTCACCCACCTTTTCTGAATTTCTGGCAGCGCTACCACAAGGCCAGCAAAGTAAGCACCAAAGCAGGCTTTCCGATGGCTTCCGAAACTTCCAGAACCGAAATCCCTGGAGCCAGAGGCTTCCGCAACCTGAAGAGGAGGACTGTAAAGGCTCGAAACATCTCGACACCCTCGCCTCGCGCTTCAGCTTGCCACACATCTCAATAGTACTCTTCACTGCTCGCATACCATAATCGTAGTGGAACCTCGGCAATCCGCCAATTTGACCCGCATGTTTCCCACTTTGAGGCTCTGAAATGCGAATCCGATATTCCCGTGGCGCCGTTCAGGCTTGGTCGCAGTAGGTTACGGCAACGGGCCAGAAGCAGAGGTTCTGGCTGTGAAGACAGCTGTTCCGACGAGAGGGTGAATGTTGTCACCTTTGCATCAACACAAGCTGGTCAGAGAAGGTTTTTGCCCTGGTCTGCATTTCCAAACTTCCAACTGAGGCAAGAGCCATCTTCTTGGCCAGAATCTTTGCCTCCGTAAATCCGTAGGCATAGAACCTGCGTCCCCGCAGGTCAACCCGCCTGTCTGAAGGCAGCTGCATGGCTAGAACATAGCAGCGGCTTAGGACTGAACATGATTTCGCCAATGAGCGCGTAGTCTGGCACCATCATGGCCTCAGAAGCTCTTGGAATACTTGGAGACTCGGGTATGTGCTCTCTAGGCGACCGGCCACCGGCCGGAAGAGAGCTGCCAGGTTGTCCGGCAGTTCAGCTCGCCCAGCATAGCCTATGGGCACAGCCGAAGCGAGAACTTGATGGGGTGTCGAGCAAACTGCTGCGCGAGCACTCACATTGAATGTGAGATAATGTGTGCGCTGAAGGCGTGTTGACAAACTCTCGATGGCACTTGATTCTTGCCTGGGTTCATTGTGATGAAGACGTTGAACGTGGGCTTCATGACCTCGGCTGCAGCTGCGTCACACGACGATGACCTCAGGCTGCCGGCCTCGCAGAAACGGACTGAGGCTGCGTCGATGAGGGTGCCCTCGAACTCCAGCTCGACGGTGTCGTTGTAGCTCCCCAGCCTGTCACGGGGATTGTATAGTTTAACTTTGAGCTGAGTGGATGGGACACTTTCAGGCATCTCCAGGCATTGCCAAACAACACTTTCAAGGCTCAGCCGAGCAGCTCGGCTTTCTTGCCTAGGCTGGGATGGCCGAGCAAGGCAGCAGTCGACTCTCTCATCTCTCCGTCACACCTACCATACACCTGATATGTCCACCATTGTCCACCCAGACACCAAACAGGACCATCAACTGCTGCGCAATCACGGACAGCACCTGCACATGGTTCTTCAGGACACATGCAGCAACGCAGTTCTCATGCTCGCCTATCCCACATGACGGTAGAGGATCAGAAGCTGTTAAGACTGCAGAGCATGCGGAGTTTTGACTTCTGATTTCCCTGCAGGTTTGCAGTGGTCTTAATAATCTCCAGCACTGGCGTCGCTGCCGCTGGCTCTGCACCTCGATGTTGATGCGATTGAACTCATCGAAGCAGCACCATGCCCCAGAGAAGGCCAAACCTGGCGACTGGGCCATCGTCGTGCTGTCGCAACAAGCACTTCCGAGCCTTTGAAGAACTTGCCCACCATGATGTAGTCCATCTCTGGAGAGCAGTTGAACACCACGCACTGCTTGGCCAAGGCCTCTGCAGGCGCCCTTTCACTGCCCACATCCCACCATCCGTCGAACCCGTCGCATCCCGCCGCGCCTTGGCCAGGTCCTTGGTTGTCTCGGTCTTGCCAGTGCCGGCGGGACCTCCATCATCAGCACCGGAACCGTCAGATAAAAGAGAGCTTCGCTCCATAACACGTCGCACAGGGTGGGACACCTGCTGGTGCGCCACCGAGGCTGAGAGACTGGGCACCCATCAAGGTGATGTAGCACCTTTAGGGATGCCGCTGTTGCGGTGTGCGCTGGGAACGATTTCTGAACTTGGGTTCCCCCACATGTCGGTCAAAGGCGTGATGACCAGGCGCATGGAGTTGCCCAGGTACTCGTAGCCTCGGCTCATGGGGAAGCCAGCCCCTGGGTGGTGCGGGTAGAGAGCTGGGGTCCACACCGTACGGGAAAGATGTCTGCACGCACTTGACCTCAGCGTCTCAAGCCCCTGGAGAAAGCTGGCCTTGAGTTCTGGGAAAGTGGGAAAGGCCAGAAACCTAGGGTCACGACCCACATATTCTCTTGCTGTCGATCATCGACTTCCCAGTAGTATCGAAGCTGGGAGATCCACTCGAACGAGAACTGCAAAGCAATATTGCGGCAAGGTGCATGAGCTATCAACTCAGCGAAGCTCCCTTCGTTCAACGGACTCAAGGTCGCAACAGATCATGCACAAGCAGGTTGTTGTGTAGATCGATTGGTAGATTTGTGTCCGGCCTTGTCTTTCACGCCTTGTTCGACAAAGCCCCAAATCACGTCCTGGCAGCGTTTCTGGTACAGCATGCTCCGAGCTTGCGCACGCTGCACAAGGCCTTTGCGTGCACATCGATAACAATCAACGCATTCATCGTTTTGGTCTGGAGCTTGGTCACCTGACGCAGGACGTCATCGGGCTAGGGTGGCGCAGCTCACTGAAAGGACATCCAGAGTCTAGGAGGGCTGCCCCCTTGCGGAGAAGCATGATCAAATCCAGGATTTGCTGCGAGAGCTTCTTCGCATAGTCCGGGAGCTGCGAGTGGGATTGTGTGGGCAGCAAACGATCGCCACAGAGCAGGACATGGGGTGATCTGCTTTGCCCAGGCACCGTCCCAGAGTCGAACGCATCCTCGACCTCGGAGGTCCAGAACACCTTGCAGCCAGCGTGGCTCAACAACGGCCGACTTTCCGCCCCAACAAGTGTAGCAAGGCCTGCGAGCCGTTCAGCACAATCTGGGCAGCGTTTGACAGCACCCACTCGGTTCGCTCCATGGTTGGATAGGTGCCTGAAGTGTTTTCTTCGATGCTTTTGCTGGGCACAACATAGCACAACATGGCACAGCCCTTCTCTTGTTTTCCTGAAACCGTCCACACATCGCCCACACATCATACAACAGAGGCCAGCACCAATGCCGACTTGCAAGGCGTTGCCTAACCCGCATCACACAGACATATCACGCATTCGACTCAAAGATGAAAGCGTGCGGCTACCTCTTTGGGCTGCAATCAAGTGGCGGATGGCCCCGCACATACCATCTTGCAAGTCACCCATCCAAACTTCGACTGCCTCCACAAAGTGAGATTTGACCAGCCCAGTGCAAAGCAATCACGTGCTGTACATGCTCAGGCCTTCTGGTGCGTTACCACAGGGGACACCATCTCAACAGTCTCCGCCTCCGGCGAAACCTGACACCACAGTGATGAGGCCATCACGCGGGCGGGCTGAAGAGTCCGAAGCAGCTGCATCGAGCTCCGGGCCATGTGCGTGATTTCGTTGTCTGCCGTGAATGTGACCTCAACACTCAACACTTCACGGTACGTAGTCTAAGTTTTCCTGCTGACCCCTAAGTGTCCCAAACCCTACAACCTTGCCGGCATTGAAGTTGGCATCAACGGTTTGAGACCATGAAGATCGCATCAAACACTACCGTGTTGACAGGCCATCTCACTCTCGGAAGCTTCGTACTCATATTAGTATTAACCGCGGGCTAAACGAAGAGAATACAAATCAACACCGCGAAGAGAAAACCAAAAAGAGTAATATTACAGGTTAAGAAAGGTGATAAGGAGTGAATGAATGAACGACGCACGTTCCTTTCCGCTCGTTCTCGCATTCACTGCGTGCACTCTACTACGCTCGTTTACTTGCTTATTTGTTCACTTCGCATTTGCAATAATGATTCCGCGTGAATGTCATGAACACCCCTATTATCTTCTTTCTTTCGCTAATTCACAGATGAAGTGTTATTTCATTCACTTGTATCTGTTGAGACTACTTGAAACTTCAAACAAGATAATAGTGTTTAAGGGGCGCATAAAAAAGAAGACAAAGAGCGCCCCGAAGAAAAGCCCAAATTGTAACATTAGATTCGTGCGTCTCTTCGTTCCTTGCGATTAAACATCAAAAATATATATGGTTTTTTCGCATATGAATACTGTGTGTTAAAGGGGCACATTAAAGACTCATTTGGTGCCCAAAACAACGTACTAAATTATAGTGTAATCGCGGCCCTCATTTATAGCTCTTTCATGGGCCGCCCGTAATAATCATATTGTCCCGCTCACTGTTTGCGTTCATGTGTTCACTTGTATCATTCGATCACGGGTTCACACACTCACTTCGTTCGCTCCTTTATTACTAGAAGTGAGTGCAGGAGAAGCCGTGATGAGAATGAGGAAAGTGTACTAGCTGATGAAGGTAAGAATGAGGCGAGTGTACGAAGAGAATGCAATTAAGTTCGTTTCTAACAAATCACGATTTTACACCCGCACCAGGTGGCCATAGCACATGGTGAGTATCGACTGCGGATCCTGAAGCTATCTTTAACTCACGTAGAATTGTGGATCTCTAGAAGAAGTGACAATGATCCTAGGATTTGGGCTACTGTACCAGAAAGCTGCCATTCCTGACAGCAGATGGGGTCCAAGGAGACTGCTAAACAAAACACAATTCAAGACTCAAGACTATCTTGGCTAGCTTTCATGATAACAGAAAGCCCATAAGCGCTAACAGTTTAACAGCCATAGACCCTCCAAGGACCAAGACCTGAATCGTAAGCCCTCCCCAGACCAAGGTTACAAACCCTAAGTCCTAAAACCTGTAAAACCCAAAAACTGGACCCAAAACTTTAACAACCCAAGGCCAGAACCCAAAAACCCGCCCAAATCCGACGAAACCCTGGACACCCAACATATGGTGCAGTGTCGCCCAGTCTCCGCCACCTCCACCCCCCCCGGCCCAAGGTAAGGGATACCCCCGCCGGTGGTCCCCCCTGTCGTTGGGATGAGGTTTAGAATTTGAGGTTTATAAGGTTTAGGGTTTAGGGCTTAGGGTTTCGAAGCTTAGGGTAGAGAGTTTTCAAGCTTTGTGGGTCTTGCGTGGGTGGAACCATTGGGGGGGGGGAGGGCCCGCCGCACCGGAATCATGTATGGTGCTGTGTCGCGCAGTACCCCCCCCCCGTCCCCATGGCATTTTAGCACATTTTAGCCTAGAAGCGAACTTCCCGAAGCCACGTCCCCCCAACCCGCACCCCACCCCTAAACCCAAAACCCGAACGCAATCCCTAAACCCTAAACCCTGAACCCTGGGCCCTCCAAACCCTTAAAACCCTAAACCCTAAACCCTAAACAAACAACAAAGCCCTAAACCCCAAAAGCCGAACACCCTGACACCCCAAACTCCTAAAACCCCAGGCCCTAAAACCTGCAACCCGAAACAAACCCTGAAGCCTTAAACCCTGAAGAGCCCTAGGCAAAACCCACAAAACCTTGAAAACCCTAAGCCTCAAACCCTAAAATCCTAAACCCCAAAACCCCCCAAACCCCTAAACCCTCAAACCCCTAACCCTAAACAGCGGGGACCACAGGGGTGGTGGGGGGCGGACCATGGGGAAGCCCAAAGCCGGTTACAAAGACACAGAAACATGTGTGCGGCTTTGAGAACAAGATTTGCACAGCAGAGGCAACAAAAAAAAAAAAAAAACGAAAGATAGAAGCGAGTGGAGCACCGACCCACGGAACATGCGAAAAAATACTCCGACTGCGTTGCCTCCGCAAAAGCTCGGATGCCTGAGACCCGTGCTTTGGACATGGCCTCGAAGACCTTCGACAGGAAGGGCTGCACCCTAGTTGGGTCCTGGCCAAATGGCAAAAGCGGCCAGTCAACAGATGCCACAAAGAGTCAGCAAAATCAGGCGTACTGCGGCACAGTGTGGCACTTTGGCCTTCGTCTGCGACAGGATCTCGAGGAGCTCGTCGTTGGAAAGGAAGTAGAACCGCGCGAATCCGTTCCTTAGGAACATGGGGCTCCAGTTGCCAAACGACCCCTCGAGCTCCACGGAAGCACATATGCACGTCATCACGGTATGCTACGGTAACATTTACCGCGAATTAGAAACCGCACCGCGAGAAGACAATCATCAACAGCAGCGTTTGAGGCATTCACCGCTTGGTTTCCAAGTAGTCCTGGCAAGAACTATGTAACAACTCTACCGGTCTACCGGACATTCCTGTCACCCGCAGTGGCCTCCAAGCCTTTCTGCACCATGTCCAACGTAATCTGGCACATGCCAGCTAATGTCAGCTCATGCACGCTGATGCTCTGCGGAGTTCGGCTTCGCACTGGCTACTTTTGTCATCCCAAGACAAGCTCGGCTGCCCCGCGTTGCACTCACGCCACTTCTCCAGCAGACCCTCTGTGGCGCAAATGTCGATGATCTTGGGATTTTCCCGCGTGTTGATCATCTCCTGGAAAGATTCGGGGTAGGTTTCGGAAGTCGGCAGGGCAGCTACTGGGCTCACAGAAAGCAGGAAGTCTGCACAAGTCCTGGCGCCAGGTTGCATCAACGTGCTTGAAGCGCTTGCCTCCAAAGTGCAGTGTTGCACTCTGATCGCTGATGGTAACTCCGACCTTTGGGGGGTAGTTAGATGGAATGTAAATAAAACCCAAAAAAAAGGCCTTCGGTCGGAAGCTGTCGCATGATGTCCTGAAACCGCATTGCGTTTTGCAGCACACAAAAAACTGCGCATCGTTCATGCAGCCAAGCAGCGTCAGAGTCGAAGATGGGCTGGAGGTACATCCAAGCCTTCTGGCACTTGAGCCTGGCCCAGCGGGTTTTTGCAGATCACCAGGAGATCCACTGGAAAGTTGTAACTGGAGGCTTCGAGAAAAACGGCTGGTGCGACCATTCCTCGAGAGTTTCGGACACCCGCATGAGACGGGTATTCCACCTTTGGCAAGTGCAACTTCTCTGCGCCTCTGAAATTCCGCCACGTTCATCCACACCGATAGTAAGCCCGCGACTCATCAATGTCCTCTTCGAAGGGACCCTTGAAAGTGGAGAACATCATCGCCTGAAGGTAGAGGCGCATTTGGTGCCATTGAGAGTTCAACTGATCTGCCACGTCGCAAAACGTGACAGCCCTCGCCTGCGTCGTTACGATGTGCTCGTCCAGAAGAACCATGGCCTGCAAAAGGCGCCAGGCGCCGAGAAACTCCCTGATTATGGGCCCAGGATTTGCGACCCACACGCAGGGCCTCCCCGTCTCCCTTGAGGACATATGTGCCCGTCTTCCTTAACACCGCCGAGGTCTGTACAAACACATGATGACGGCGTCTTGTCGGGAGCAGGCCGGTACTTCTCCGAGAGGTCAAACTGGAGAGGCTCCCAGTCCGCCTCACAAAAAGTCCACGCAATAGACATGTGGCTCCGGGAAGGCAGGCTTCGTGCAGGCTTAGTGTGCAGATATGTGCAGATGCTTGCGGCCTTCATCTTGTTCAGAGTCTTTTCCAAGCCATACTCTTTGCCGGCGCGGTCCCCCACTTCGGCCACCTGTGGAAACGGAGCAAATGGCATCAGATGGCTCGGAGAAGGCGAAAGTTCGCACGAGAGTTCCGAAAGCCTCGTTGGCGAAGTTTAGGAGGCCAAGGTCCAACATCCTGGGCTGGTCTTGCTTCGGGTGCAGGCTTACTTGGGACGTTGTACATGTGCGAGCTGCGTGCGGGTCAACTCTGAGAGCTTGCAAAGCAGGCCGTGCCTCTGCAGCGTGAAGCCGCCCTCCATGCCTGGCCCCACCTGCACGGACGACCTGGGCGAGAGAACCTGAGAACCTGTTGCATGAGTTTATCTGTGCAAAAGCATGGGCAACCCAGACAGCAGGCTGCACTGGCAGATGTAGCTGGCTCAGCAAGCAGCTTATCCGAGATCTGCTCCTGGCAGGCAGAATGCATGAGAGCACTCCACATCACGGCAGCTGTAAAGGTTGCAAACCCCCCACAATGAGAACGGTCACACAACGCGAACTTTCTGCAAGCGTGCATTAGCTGGCCCAATGTCGTTGCCGCATGCCCTCATTGCGTAGACCGGTCACCAGTGGCAAGTTCGGCTTGAACCTGCAGCGAGCATTGCTACGCCTGCTAAGCAGCTGCACTTCCTCTCCCGAGACCGTCAGAGTCTTCCATTGCTGGTGTGCTTCAGGCGCCGGCTCTTCCAGCTCTAGCTTAATCTGCTCGGCGATGCCGCAAATGGACTGGTGCAGAGGTGAGCATGGCAACACACCGTCAATAACCTGACAATGCTGCAACTCGCCCCGCCTTGGTTTCCTCATTTTCTTTCAGGGTGCGAATGGTTTTGAATAGCAGTCGGATACCATTCGTCACCTGTCGAGGCACCCCGGCGGCCACCATGGAATCTTCAGGATGAAGAAAACTCTAGCGACTGCAGTGAAAGATCCAGCCTCGTTTTCACAGTAACGAGGGTCAATCTCGTCGAAGGGGCCACGCAGCCACGCCTGCTTTCAGGAGCACCACCTTTCTGAGTTCATGGGTCTGGGCCCGTGGGTGGTTTGGACCTCCTTGTTGTTGACCCAATCTCCGGCCGTTTTCCAGAGGTTGTTGTACGGCTCGAAGGTTTTGATCATTGTGTTGAGGTTTGAATAGTCCGTCTGGTCCTTGGCCAAGGCAAAGGCAAAGGCTCCGTGACGTCGCAGCACTATGCCGCCCCAAACTGAGCACCAGTTGAGGCCCATGCCCTGTCAAACAGCACCTGCCCCATGGCATCGTGGCAACACAGCAAACCAACTGACGGCAGGACACCTATGGGCACATATGGGCGCATGCGCACAGAGCATGCTGCCTCGCGGGAGTTGAACAAGCGAACCAAATCCTGGCACTGCTTGATCTCCTCGGACGTCGTCCGAACCTGCGACAATGTTAACACTACAGTCAAAGTCGGCAAAAGCCCAGCAAAAGCCTTATTGAGGCATCTTCATGGCATCAGGAACGCATCACAAGGTGCCCCCACCTTTTCAGCGACCTCCCGGACTTGGCCGAGGTCCTTGTACTGGGAGAAGTTTTCAATGACCTGCGCCAGAGTTGTGTAGTTGTGTCATGTGCCAAATTGTGCCAGGGCCCACGATGGCCCATGGTTCACGAAATGTTCACAACGGCTGCTTGCGCCCGCCTCCTCCAGGCGCACCAGCCGAGACTCAAACTCCTGGCATTGTCTGGTGGTCCATCGGACGGCCCTTCATCTGTTTGCAGGTCCAGCCGGCCTTCTGCTCGGATTCCTGACCTTGCAGGAACTCGTCGTGCTTGTTGTTCAGGTACCTGACAACGGCACACGCTGGAGCCACGCCCTAGTGTGCCTCAGGCCAGCCGTGTCCGGGCGCACTCCAGACATTTGGCCGCCCTGGACTTCACAAGCCCGGAGGAGCCAAACCTGAACCCCAGTAGAAAAGGCGCCACATGCGCCAACGATGCGGCAAGGGACACGCCAAGCCCTCCAGGCTCCCCGGCATCTCCCAGCGCGCTTCCAGCGTTTCAGCTGGCAGCTCGTAGCGGAGATCCTCAACCTAGGATACTCCAGCATCACCATAACGAAACATAAACCACCTAAACACGCCACAACAACTATCAACTTCTCCCTCAGAGATGGGTAATAGAATGTACTAGAAGATCCCGGGGCGAGGACCAAGTCTGTCAATCCGATGGCTTCGTTGACGGCCCCTGCCAGCTTGGCGAGCTCACTCGGGATGGACTTCAGGAAGTCCTGCACAGCAGTCAGCCAGCACTTGTGGCGAGTCGACCATGTGCGTCACCATGCGTTACGAATGAGGAGGGTGTCTGTTTACAACTCAAGGAACAGACTTCATGTTTCTGAGCCCGTGTCCTTCATGTCCGAGCACTCCTCGATCGTTGAGACCTCCATGGTCCGTGACACGTGCAAGGGGTCTATGGGGCCCGGAGCAAGGAGGCTTTGAGGCCTGCGTCTGCAACTTGGCGAAAATGCCCTCGAACGCAGCTGTGGCCTGTGTCGCAAAGAAGCAAACAGAGTGGGCTGCAAGTCAAATTACATGTCTCTCACCTCGTGAATGTTGACCTCCAGCGTGTCTGCGAGAGACTTCATCAGTAGCTGCACTGACCTTTCCGGCAGGAATTTGTTCGGACGGGCGTCAGACGTGGCAGCAACGGGAACCCGGTCGCGTCTCAACATCTCCACACTACACCACTGAGCCCACGGCTGCTCCAGCTTGTCGATGAGCTGGTTGCGGATGGACCCCGACTCTATGCCTGCGAGTCTCGCAAAGCAAGTCACTCAACACAAGCACACACACACACACACACACACACACACACACGAACAGCCACGCATGAACAGGCCGGGCTCCAAGCGATAGAAGCCAACTCCGATGGACTCCTGTCAGCAGGAGGGATGAACTTTGGACGAGATGCGACAAGAAAGGCCTTGTCATCGGGAATGGACTCTTGAATTTGTCGAATACGCCTCACATGCGCCAAGGGGTCAGAGGCGACAAGCTCTCCGACTCTCCGAGCTGGGCCCATCTCGGCTTTCTGAAAATCTGAGGAGACAGCTCTTTTCGCTCTTCAATCATGCTTTTGACGGTCGCAGGCGGTTGAGGTTCTGCCTGCAGCCGGTTGGCCGCTGCCTATCCAAGCGGAGTAGTGTGTAGTCCTTTGATGTCATTTGCAGATGCATCATGGCCGAGTCCACGCTTAAGCTACGACCTCTCTAGCTCCCAGCAGCCTCGGGGTCCATCTGCACAACATCCTGTTCGCATCACTGATTCATTGAGTTCTCACGTGCAGAATGACGCATAGGACGACGATACCCTCAGTCCTTGAAGCTTTCGAGCGCTTCCAAGATGCCCTTCAGCCATGGCTCCTGCTTTGTCAAGGTCTCCTGTTGCGGGCGCACCCAGCCAATCCAAACGCGGCAGGCTCCGGAAAACAATTGAAACTCCCCAAACCCTAAACCCCCAAACCCTAAATCCTACACTCGATGGCTCAGGATGGTCCAGACTTGCAGTTCGAATCTACGCCTCAATTTCCACCGACAAGGCCGGAACTTGCAAGAAGTCTAAGATTACCCTGAGCCCCCCTGAACCCAAAAACCTGAACCCAACGCTGGAACATCCCCACTCTCGGGGCTGCAATGCTGGCAACAGGCGGCCGGCCTCCAACCGGGACCGAAGATCTTGCACCCAGGTATCCGAGGGCGTGAAGATAGGGTCCTGACCAACATCAGGCACCAAGGCCTTGCAAAGCCCTTACAGTCCATACGGTCCGCCCAGCGTTCCCGCTGGGAGAGCCTGGAGTAGTTCCCGTCGACTCCGGCACCCGCTGACCCGCCCCGCCGATGCAGACACCCGAAATGCGGACACTGGGAAACCCGGTCCAAGTGATGATCGCGGATCAGATGTGGAAGGAGCACCTGGCAACGCGGATTCACACTGATTCACACGCGCGCCTGCCACTGCCACTCCCAAAGCCACAGCCACGGCAGCAATCCGGGCTCATCAAGGCTTATCCGTGCGAATCCGGGCTAATCCCTGCTCTGGGCTCGCGCTACCGAGGCCGCAGCGCTCTCGATGCTGTGCACATCTCTGAAGGATGCCATTCCCTTGTCAAACACTCCGAGAACAGCCTGGCAGGCACTGAGCTTGCCATGCTGCAAAAGGGCAAGAAGGCTCCCAGGGAAAAAAAAGTAAAAGAAGCCTGCTTCAACTCCGCGAGGTCCGTCCTGAAGTTAGCTGTTTGCACCAGTCGCATCAGACTCCGACTAGGTGTGGTGAAGGCTTGATTCTCGGTCTCGGCCCACTGCTTGTACGCAAAGTGTAAGGTCGGAGGCTCTTCTGGCTTCTTTTCCTCATCCTTCAGCACATGCACATCGTCTGCACTGGTCAAGAGATGCGCCGGCAAAGATGCTGCGCGATTCGAAGGCACAAGCTCCCCATGCACTGTCCTTGCCCTTCTCTTTTCCTGGATGGAGCGATTTTTCTCAGATGCGCCGAATTACGTCATCGTGTATTTCTTCTTATAGTTTCCCCACAAAAACAAGAGTCCATGATACTGGTACAAGCTTAGTACTGGAATCGTTTCAGTGCACTGGCTGGAGTTTCATTGCTCTGGAGCAGAAGCTTGGCACTGGAATCGACGTTCCCGTGAGCCGGCTGGAGTTTCATTGATTTTGAAGTAACAGCTTAGTACTCGAATCGACGTTCCCGTGAGCCGGCTGCAGTTTCATTGAGTTGTAGTACGGGGGGTTACACAACCCTGGGAAATCTTGCAGAAGCCAATGACACAAAGGCTATGGAACTGGTCTCTGCGAGATTCTGCGAGTTAGTTGAGCTGGCTGAGCTGGCTGAGGTGGCTTGCCTTTCTTCTCCGTCTTCTTTTTGTCCTCCGCTGCAGCAGCCACCTCTGCCTGGATGTAGCACTGCTGCGAGCACCGTGATCCGAGTCCGAGACTTTTGGTCCCATCTTTCCAAGGCCGCGGCGGCCGCCGCAGCTTTCGCGGCGACTTCTGGGTTGATCATGATTTCTACCTTGCGCGTACAGGTATCTCCTACTCTTTCCTCCTCTTTGGGGTCCAAGCCATACCCCCAAGCCTTGAAGAGAGTTTTCTTCAAGGCTGGATCCACGGCCTTGTCATGTGTCTGTTGGACGCATCGGCTCTTTGAGCGTGGCCACTCTGGATACAAGTGTGGTCTGCAAAGAGCAGCTGGGATCAAAGCGGTCTCCTCCCTGTCACCCTCTTTCACCTGCCATCAAGACATTTCGAGACGGCAAGAAGGAAAAATGGTAAGATGGCTTGAGACTTGTTCGGCCAGGATGTAGGGCTCGGGCAATGTTGCGGAGGGATCGCAGAACAGTTCTGTCTTTGGCCATGTCAACCTTACAGGATCGGCGCAGATGTATGAGCTCATGACAGCATGGCCGGCAGACTTCAACAACTTGGCGTTCTCAAAATGTGGCCAGACGCCCTACCGGCATCTGCGACGCAGTGGCGACGCTGAGTGTGCCACTCTAGAAGGTGTCATGGCCTCGAGAACCTGCACCTGGGCATGAGAGGCTCCTTTTTCCCGCCTAGTTAGTTGATCAAGATGGTTCGTCTCTAAGCAGGACACAAAAGAGGTCAGGTTGTCCTGGCAGCGGATTAGCCGGTCCACTACTCAGTACATCTCATGTCAATCAATGTCAACATCTTTTCAGCATTTCGAGATATTTCACACTGCGCACAGCCTCGCCCAGCAGAAGAAAAGCGTTGGACCTTGCCATGGTGCGACGAAGTCGCTGAAACTCTGCCCTGCCTGCCCCAAGTCTTCCCTAGGCCCGATCTCAGTGCGGCACATCATCAGCCCACAACACACCAGCATTGGCCGCAAACGGCTTGCCCTGTAGTTCCTGCCAAACAGTCCCGCACGTGAGCCCCCCAGCAATCTACAGGTGGCGAAAAAATGGTCGAAGAATTCGGCAGCACATCTTATGAACTTTGCAGCAAGGCTAGGAAGAACCTCATCGAATCATGCCGGCAGCACTCTAGCGAAGTCTCGTTGAGGTGGTACCATTTCACAGTCGCCTGCACCAGCTGCATTTCCCAAGCACGGCGACAGTGACAGCACGATGGGACCCAACAAAAACAAAGCAGCTGCAGCCTGTTGCAGGCACTGAGTTATCCGCATGCCTGAGCATGCTGCCATCATGCTGCACAAGTGTGCCCGTGTCAAGGCCTGAGCACTACTTAGCACCTCACGGATGGTGTTCACCCACATCCCCAGGCGGCCCTTGAGGCGCATGATGGATGCTTCCTGCCGCTCTGAGAACTCTTGAAGTCGAAGCGGTGAGTTGAAGGCCGTCTCGAAGACCTTTTCTGTGAGGAGGTCCAGGCACATGCCCCGTGTGACCTGCAAGGCCGCACATACCTCAGGTCTGATGACCAGGGATGCCTTGCAAAACCATTCGAAGGCTTGCCGGAACCCGCGCGGAACTTGTGGATCCGGAGCACCCATGGTACTGGTGTCCCAAGACGGTAGGACCTTTACCGCCATGTAGGGCACGGCCAGCGCCTCCGCTGGCGGCGGCAACTTTAAATCGGCAGGCAGGACCGTCAGGTTGCCCTGGCTGCGTACCTTTTCAAAGGTAATCAGGTTTTGAACGCGTATATATTCCCGCTGTGCTTCCTGCAGTAGTGTCTCAAGCTTGCCACCAAGCTTGTCAGCAAATTCTGAATTGGCATCCCACAGCATCCCTTTTGCCAGGCGCGATATTCTCGAAATGGACTCGCGCCCAATCTTGCGCGAACGATCCTCCGGCATACTATCGACGAAGAAATGGTACTTGAGGAGACTGTTCGCATATCTCCTCTGCTCTAGCGCTTTTTTCAAATGGTCTGCAAAAACAATGGGATCATCTCCCTCGAAAAATACGTGTAAGCTGAGGACCTTGTCCTCTTGGCCATTCACCCATTTGACGTTGTAACGTCGGCTTGCGGCATCCCATCCGAGAACGCTGCCACTCTGCCATCGTCCACTTCCGTCCTCCATGGTACGCAAGGCTGTGCAGGCCAGCGGAACCGTCTGCCCCGATGGATCTTGTAAGACCTGGTGCCACTCCTCAGGGGTTCGTGTCCACATTGTGGAATCCTCGAAGGCCTCCAAGGGGAGCGGAACATCTCGATCCGGATTGGGCCGGCTGTAGTCCACACCACGCTCATCTAGAAGGGTCAGCAGCGGTGGAAGGTGGTCCTGGTAGCCCGGTGACCGCTTGATCGTCGACCTCAAGTGCGACAGGTCGACGGAATCGAAGGCTGCTGCTGGCTGAGTGTTGTCCAAGCTGTCCAACTTCACACCCACAGTGCTTCTCTTCTGCGATGCTGTTGCTGCACCTGGCCCGCTGCCAAGCCTCAGGAACTTCTGAGGAACTTTTGTGCTCGGTTGCTAGCTCCCAACTGAAAAAATTTCCCCGACTCTCTAGATGGGCCTTGGTGGAGGAGGGACGGGTGATCTGGCGGCCTTAGGTGGCACTGCGAAGACTGGGCAACTAGGAGACCACGCTAAGCAAGCCTTGTGCCACCACAAGCTCATACCAAACTCGTCATGTCTCAGGTGCTTGCCCCAGAAGTGCCGGTTTCCATATCGAGGCCAAACACCCTGCAACATGAGGCCAATGCGGTCCCCATTCACTGCAAGGCAGCAACATGCTCAAGAATGCAACGGCAGAGCAGCGAGAAAGACCACTTGCAAGCCACGTGCAATTATCATGCCTCCAGTCTATGTCGCCGGATTGTAGACCAGTCGCAGACGTAGAACCGGAGATCTTTCCTGCAGGATGAACGATTATGGTGCAAATCTTGATGCGCATACTGCTATGCATTCGGTTCCTGGGCTCCCTTTGCCTTTCACCTTGGCCAGCTTCGTGCGCCCATCTGGGGCCGGCGAATTTGCCGGCATCCTGCAGCAAAGCGCTGGCATCATACAGGATGGACAGTATGGACAGTCAAGCCGACACGAAATGCCCAGACGGAGTTATGCTGCGCCTTCGGGCCCACAGCTCAGCCGGGGGAGTCTATATCCTAACACAGTGCATCTACATCTAACACAGTGCATCTACATTAGTATCACAGCTTGGGAGCAAAGCCGCGCAGAAATGCAGACGATCATGGCACAAACGTCAGTCAATCAGCATCGCAAACGAAAAATCTAATGCAGAAGAAATACTGCAGCCTTGTGCAAAAAGACGGCAATGGCGAGGTTTTTCAATGCTGCAGAACATATATCCAATGCATGGCTGCAAGCTACCGAAGCCACGAAAAGCCGAGTTCCAGGTTCCTTTCGGGTTTGTCCAACATCCGATTTGAGCCAAATCACGTGGTCTTGTCCAAACCACAGCAAAACGTTCGACAAGTAACCGTTGCTGCTGAGATCCGGGCAAATCACAGGTGTTGTTGATACTGATTTTGGCATGGGTCACCTACACGAGGTCCTGTAGATGCAACAAAAACCTCGGACCTGATGTTGTTGATTGGACAACTTCCAGCCCTTCACGAAACTTTCTAGCCCCCCTTTGCTCCTGGCTTGAGCGATGAACCTTGCTAGAAGACCCAAGCCTCACAAGATGTACATCTTCGTTGGAGGCCAATGAAGTCGACATGTCAGTTTCCCCAAGATGCGGCCCAACGGCCCCATTTCACACACGGCTGCTTTCCAGACCCAGAGCCTCCTTGCCCTCGCGCTCTCTCGTTGCACAAGCATCCTCGCCCACTGTCACTGACTTGACATGCATTGAGATCTACTCTGGGCTGGCCGTCTCCGTTAATGGTGGTATATTGTCGGAACTTGTGATCACAAGCTCGAGGCCTCCTTTTCTCTCAGATGTGTGTCGGTCTGTCGCGAAGCCAAACATGACAACCTCTTTTTTCCAGCGTACACCGACATGCTTTCAGAATCTTACGTCATGACACCTGCAGGATTTTCGGTGTCCCGCGAGACATGCAGCACCATGCAGTGGAAGGAGGAGGAGCTTGACGGACCCAAGCGGGGGCCATCAGCGAGCGGGCCAGTGATGAGCAAGCAAAAACAAAAACATGTGCGCGCAACGTGCTGCTTGAAACGTGCTGTTTGCCGCAAAGCTGGGGCCGAGTGCACGCATTCAGGCAAGCGGCTCGGATATTTTCATGCTGAAGCTTGGCCAGGCAATGCAAGAGCTGTTCGGTGGTTGCACCGGATCCGCTTTCACGTCACCCGGCCGACACAGAACAACTCGGCTATGAGGGGGAGAGGATCATCAAAGCACATTGCTCCTGAACACCTTCGATGTGGGCTTGAGCCTCCCCATACACAGAGCCTAACTCTACCTGCGCCTTGAGCTTGCTCAGACAGCTTCCGGGAACCTCCAACGGAGTCAGGGTGAACGCTCTCACCTTCTTCATGCGCATGGTCAAACTGGACAGCATCCCTACTCGCATCCGGCAAGGCCACTTTCAGATTGCCTATGAGAACTGCAGCCAAGTGCCTGGCACGAGTTCCCGCGAGCTTGGTTTCCGCACAAGTGTTCAGCTGGAAGCTGCGCATGGCAGGCTTTCATTGCTCCAACACACAGGAACTGTTAGAAAAACAACTTTTCTTGAAAACCTAGGAAGTAACCAAAGTCTAGCAATTAGTGAGAACAAAGTTAGCCGAAAGAATCACTAACAGCTAACAAACGTGTTTACATTTTTTTGAAACTGTCCAAGAACACCAAAGATGTTAGTTAAACTTGGCATAGTAAAAAATCCAAGAAATAGTGAAAACAAAACACATAGGAAATAGTTGCATTTCCGTGGCAAATATCATCACTAAATCCTTGGAGTTTTCACTATTGCAGGCCACAATGCAGTCAAAATTTCGACTGGCGAGCCTTGGAACCTTCGACTAAACTTCGGTTGTGATGTTTGGGTATATGTCTTTTTGTGAAGAAACACAACACATGTGCCTTTTCGTGACGAGGATGTGATCTGACAACATGTACTGCAAAGTGATGTGTCTCGTGTATGCATACAAAAACATATCTACAAACGAACACTTATATGAATCTGCATACATATATATGCATACCTAGTACGTTTTGTTCGATTCGAAAGAGCCGCAGAAATTGCACAGTGCCGCTGGCTTTATCTTGATACGCATGCAAGCAAGCTGTCCACATTTTCAGCAAGGAGAAATCCTTGCCAGGCCCAGCCGAAAAGGTATCAGGACCCAAGTCACGAGATGAGCAGGAGAGTGACTGATGTGTTTTTTCAATGTTTGTGCAGATGACTTCATTTCTTCTGTGATGTTTCTTGGTCACACTCCCCGCCCCCCCCACTCTTCCCGCCCTCCCCCTTGGCCCCCACCTTGTTAGGGTGTAGTGCATGCCCGACCCCCCCCCCCTCGCTGCTTTGCTGTTCGTAATGGAGTGTTTTGGGCTCCAGTGCATGCCCAAGCCCGCCCCTCGCTGCCCTTGCTGCCCCCGCCCCCCGCCCTCCGCCCCCCACCCTCCCGCCCTCCCCCTTGGCCCACCTTGTTGGCGGGCATAGGAAGGTGTGCGATTGCAAGGGTACTCTGTGATGTCATGTGCTGTTTGCACTGTATTGTGTGTGTGCTTGAGCCTCTCAATCTTTTTGTCGCAGGTGTGATTTCTTCTTTTGCGATGAGGCAACAGCATAGTATATGTATGTCTCGAAAAATACAGACACAAAAAAGCATAAAGTATCCAGATAAAAATGATTTAAAGGATTCTACAACAACGTCTGCATTGCGCAATTCTGCGAACGATAATGCCTTATAAGCCCCATATATCTCTCCCCATGTGTAAACTTTAACTCATGCCCAATAAAGAGCCTAAAAAACATTAAAAGCCATCCAAAAGCCCTATAAGCCCGAAAGCCGACCTAATGTTGCGTGTATATCTTTCAACTGGCCTAGAGTGCGGCTAAATGAAGAAAGCCCAACTTGAGCAAGACCTACAACGCTTGAAGATGGATTGACGAGGTTGAAGAGAGGCAATGACCCTGTCAACCACATGAAATACAGTACTAAACCCAAAACCAAAGCCTGCCACCATCGACTCTAAACCTTCAAGCCCCCATACTAAACTAACAAACACCCCGAGAGCCCAAAAACGAACCTTTTGCATTCTGAAAACAATTCTCAGCAACTTACAAAGAACGATTTGTTCTCCACCAAGTGCTCCGCAACGGTGGAATTTCTAAGTCCGTTCAAAACAAATATCAACAAACAAATACAAAATAAAACATATGATATTGATAATGATCACAAAAGAAATTGTTGCAGTTAACTGTCTTGCAGTCCATGTCTCCATCAACAAGTGAAAAACTGACAGGCAATGTGCAACATAACCAGGCACAAATTTAAAAAACACATGGCTTTCAGCTTGCTTTATGCTCAAGAGGATTAGAACTGCAAGTCGTTTTAGCTACACTGCGGCTTGGTGAAAAACAAGACTGTACACTTCTGTGGAGACAGTTATTTAAGCGAAACGTCACACGCAACAGAAAATACCAGATCTTTAGCTTGGGTTCAGAAATTGAAATGAAAGATTTTTGCCGACTACACATTGATTTGTACCACTTCCGTTCGCCGGCGGAATTTTCGTTGATTTGTAGTGCAAGATCAGCACTGGAACCCCGTTTCCGTTAGCCGGCAGGATTTTATTAAATTTGTAGTTAAGATTAGTGCTGGAACCGCTGTCTGCATGAGCCGTTGGAATTTTCGTTGATTTGTAGTGCAAGCTTAGAACTGGAACCGCCGTTTCCGTGAGCCGGTAAAATCTTCGCTGTAGCACAAGCTTTGTACTGGAACCGCCGTCTCCATAAGCCGGCGGGATTTTCATTGATTTGTAGTGCAAGCTTCGAACTGGAACCGCCGTCCGCGTCAGCTATTGGAATTTTTAGTTAATTTGTAGAACAAGGTGAGACTGGAACGGCCGTCCTGTGAGCTGGCTGGTTTTTTGTTGATTCGCAGTACAAGCTCAGTACTGGTGTTGCCTGTCTTTGTCCGACTTGTTAATAACGTCACGGTGGACTAAAGGCATCGTGCGTTTGCGACCACGAATGAAGTTGCCAAGGTTGACGGTAAGGATCGTGCAGCTGGACCTTAAGGTGTAGATCGGAATTGGATCATCTTTATGAAGGCCAAAGTTGTGCACCCAAGGATCTGGTATCTTGTCTAAAGACAAGTCTCCAATCTCACTTAGGCTAACGCTGCAGCCGATGAAGTAGTGCAACATCGCATTCATCAGCTCGGTCCTGCTGGCACCATGAAAGCTTTGCTTAAGCTCCTGTGGCTTCTCCAGCAGGACACTTGGATTTCCAGGATCTTCTCGCGAACGTCGAACAACCTTTCAAGAAGATTGATGTCCAGTGTTGAGCGATAATTTCCAGCTCTGAAGATCACCTTGCTGGCCTTGTCTCTCAACTCGTAGATGGAAGCCATTAAGCACAAAGCATCCATCAGCTGGCTCTTCCAGATTGTACTTTGCTCCCACATGGCTATCTGCTGGAACTTGCCAGGCCATGTGCTGCAGCTTAAACAGGTTCACATTGGTGTCTCGGATTCCCGTATGGAAGATTTCGATATATTGTACCCCTCTGGAACGTCTCTAGTGGGATGCTCGCTCAATTTGGACTTTGTCAAAGATGAACTTCTTGTGGCCATAGTGTCTTCCAGACCCAACTTATTCTTAAGCGTCGGCCATCTTGTTAAAGGTCTTATCATTCTTGCGCTCTGCTTTAGCGGTAGAGCGGATGAAGGTCTCGATTGTTTCCGGGTCCACGGCGTTTTGGTCTGTCCCCAGATGTTCTGGTTAAAGACCTTCTCCTTGGACCCAGAAAGCGGAAGAAGACTGGCCTGCTTCTGCAACGTGCTTGGCTTCTCCGTGTCCTCATCAGCCTTCATCTCCGCAGAACTCGGCT